ATAGATCCTGTCAACATAACAAGGTCTTTTTCTGATGACATTACAAGTTATATTTAGAAAAGTATCAGTGTTGGTGTAATATTTAATTTCCGTAAGGCATCTGAAATGGTACTACAGAACATTTTGATTGATTTTATAACTTTCCATTTTTTAATATGGCATACGGTAAATGGATGAAAATCTGGCTGTTCGGTCTCAAAATATAATCAAAGAAGAAATCATCAAACAAGTGTGATTCCAATGCAATGCTTCAGGGATCAGGTTTCATCCTAGGCTATTTAACATTTTCATCAGTGACCCGGAAGAAAACGTAAAGTCATCAGTGATAAAGTTTGCATGTGACTCCAAAAGTGGAGAAGTGATTCAGAGCAATAATATATAAAAAGAGCCAGTGATTCAAAGCAATCTGGATTGCTTGGTAAACTAGACACAAGTAAACAATACGCAATTTAATATGGCACAATGTACATACACCAAGAACAAAGAACGCCAGCCATATTTATGCAATGGGGGACTCTATTCTGGGAAGCAGTGACTCTGAAAAAGATGTGGGGATCATTCTAGATAACCAGCAGAACATGAGCTCCAGTAAAATGCTATAGCCCAGAAGGCTAATGTGTTCCTTACAGGGGAATCTTGAGTCGAAGTAAGAGATTCTACCTCCATATTTTGCACTGGTGCAACCACTGTTGGAATACTGCATCCAGTGCTAATGGATGATGTTAATAAATTCGAGAAGGTTAGAAAACATTACATGTAGTGAGATTCTCGAGGTGCTCACTTTATTTAGATTAATAAAGAGAAAATTTGATTTCAACACAGTCTAGATATCTACCGTATTTTAGCGAATATAACCCGTGGAAAAAATTACCAAGAGTTGTGGTGGCTTCTCCGCCACTCACAATTTTTAAATTAACATTGGATATTTTTCTGAAAGACATGCTGTAGGAATTATTTTAGAGAAACTTTATGGCATCTCTTAAACATGAGAACAGACTTAATGATGACATTGGGTCTTCTGGCTCTGGAAGTTACAAAGAAAACTGGACAAATTATTTGTGATAGAAGGTTTTCTGTAGTCTTTACATTTTCTTGTTCATATGTCAGAAACTAAATACTCCAGATCTAATATTATATTGGTGTCTTCTAGTTTTGTGGTGTTATTTAGGTATAAACAACAATATTGGCAAGGTTCTAGAACTGCATATCTGTGCTATTCTGTGGGATTGCTAGGTCCTAAATGAGTCCATCTGCCAGCTTCCATGAACATATTATACAAATCTGCATGGACTCTGGTACAATTTACAAAGCCCGGACCAGGCAGGCTTTCAAAGAAAATGCCCTAAACAAAGGATGGTCTCCAACATTGTTACTTATGTATCAATAATTTAAAGAAAACGCTTTATCAGAAAAGCCATTCACAAAGCCTGAAAACTAGGAAGTACAATATACAGAGTAGGATTAAAAGTTTAACATAAACCTAGAGAGGGAAAAAAAAATCAACGATTAAGAAAAATTACACGAATTTTTTATATTTTTAAATTTAAAGGTTTATTTTTTAAATAAACATTTACAATTACATTTGAAGATGACAATGTTAAGCAATAAATTTATTACAATCATTTAAATTAAATACAAAAATAATATTAACCAGCAAATTATTTAAAGAAAGTCTAACCACTGCAACAGTGAAAGTCACTGGTTAAGCAGCTGGAAGCAAAGTTTGCTGAACTGCTAAACCAGATTTTGACAGTAATAGTCTTTGATACAGGCGCAAAAAAAAAACTATCTTTATGTCAATTTATTCAACTAGTTCAGTTCAATTACTAGTCTATTCAATGTTAATAAATCAAATGGGAATTGAAGCTGAATAAAAGCTAGTTTTTATTTATAGACTGAAAAAGGAAAGCAAAGTGTGAGAGGATGGGATGTACTGGTTCTACAAGGACATGGTGACCAGAACTGATCACAAGTCAATGCATAAACTACAGACAACTTCCTTTAATATATTAGTTACTTTTAAATACAAAACATGTTGAGAAAATTTAATTTTTTATGAATTCAGCACTTCGGACAATTTAAAATGCTATTTCCACTTAATGCACTTTAATTTAAATGTGAATTTCCTTGCCAATAGAGCTTGGCACAAATAATAAAAAAATAATCATCTTGTAAAACAATAAATGTATCATTCATGATTTTCTAACAATCAAAATGTAAAAACTAAAAATGTGAACTAAATGTAAATCAAGCTATATAAGTGCTTAAATGTAAATAGCTACACCATATACCCCTGGTTAGCAATAAGCAGCACCACATCTAGTGTAAACGGAAAATCAACTTTTCTTTGGGAAAATAACTAAAAGTACAAATGGACAACGAAAAATGAATTACATCCAGGTTTCTGCTTGATTATTTAAATTGTTAGTAAGGTTGGAAAGGAAGCTCTTTGGGGGTACCGACTGTTTTTTCTTCTATTTGTACAGCATCTAGCACAATAGGCTTCTGCTCAATGATTAGGGCTGCTAAGCATTATGGGAATATGAATAAACAAACAGTAGAAAATATCTTACAACAAAGACAAGTATAGTTCACGTGCCACTGCCCCATTCTAGGACCTTTACAAAAGACAAAGGATATTTTACAACTATATTAGCAACTTGCTATCTATAAACTGCGGATGCATAGACTTTGGAGGGAGAGATGCACACCCACCTCCCTTCCTCTGCACACCTAGGTGTGTGCGTGACTGGATTGGAGGGTGGGGAGAGGAAGGTTCCCTGGCCTTCCTGAAATGTGTACAGCTTGAACCTATTCTAGTACTCTCTGGTCTGGTATGATTTTAGTTAGCTCGATGTCCACTCATCATGAGTGTGGCCATGTTTCCCATGGTCCCATACAATTGGAAAATGTTACTAGACGCCCAAGTCCCAGTCTAAATAACCAAGACCCCTATAGGACTCAAGATGTCAATGGTATGGAATAGCACCTCGTTACCTTATGCTATAGGTTACCAAGGATAGATAGGGGACTCCCTACACTCTGTGCTTCCCCCTTGCTAGTGCTCATGGATAATTACACAGGACACCATCAGTTTAATCACTTGTCTACTGTCACAACACTTGAGCAAGCCACCACTACAGGAAGAAGCCATGGACTTGGTGAGAGACTCGGATAGGAACATGATGATCGAATCAGATGTTGGAAGTAGAGGGTACGGAAGTGGTTTCCATTATATCTACACAGGACTTACAGTTTAAGTCAATGGTTCTCAGCACCCACATTATAAAAATTATTCTAGCTCCTCTGGTTTGAGTGACACTTGGCAATAAGTAGCAAACCCATGAGCCCTGCTGTTGTTTTCTATTAGAGCTGTCGAGACAGGACTACAGCATCCCTGGGGCCAGTTCTGCACAACAGCTTGACTCAATGTAACTAATTCTGACTGTGAGTGAGTGGCGAAAGGGGGATCCCCTTGGGCCCCTGCAACCCTTGGGGGAGGAGGGGAAGGAAGGGCTCTCCTTGGGAATATGCAGCTGGGGGCAGCGGGGGTGGTGCAAGGAAGCTCTTGGCGGGCCTAGTCGCCTCTGTGCAAGAGGGGGAAAGGAGGGACCCCCTGTGGCCCCCGCAGCTGTGTAGGGGCAGGTGAGAAGGCAGGGACCCCCCTGCTGCTCTGTGGCAAGAGAGAGACTCTCCCGAGCCATGGAGTGCAGCACTGGTGGGGGAGGGAACCCCCCAACCAATGCAATGGGGGCGTTAGAAAGCAGGACACCTGGCCCACGCAGCTCGAGGGGGGCAGACTCGGGACCCCCCTCCGGCTCACGCAGCTCGTGGGGGAGGGGCAGACTCGGGGCCCCCCTCCGGCTCACGCAGCTCGAGGGGGGAGGGGCAGACTCGGGGCCCCCCTCCGGCTCACGCAGCTCGAGGGGGGAGGGGCAGACTCGGGGCCCCCCTCCGGCTCACGCAGCTCGAGGGGGGAGGGGCAGACTCGGGGCCCCCCTCCGGCTCACGCAGCTCGAGGGGGGAGGGGCAGACTCGGGGCCCCCCTCCGGCTCACGCAGCTCGAGGGGGGAGGGGCAGACTCGGGGCCCCCCTCCGGCTCACGCAGCTCGAGGGGGGAGGGGCAGACTCGGGGCCCCCCTCCGGCTCACGCAGCTCGAGGGGGGAGGGGCAGACTCGGGGCCCCCCTCCGGCTCACGCAGCTCGAGGGGGGAGGGGCAGACTCGGGGCCCCCCTCCGGCTCACGCAGCTCGAGGGGGGAGGGGCAGACTCGGGGCCCCCCTCCGGCTCACGCAGCTCGAGGGGGGAGGGGCAGACTCGGGGCCCCCCTCCGGCTCACGCAGCTCGAGGGGGGAGGGGCAGACTCGGGGCCCCCCTCCGGCTCACGCAGCTCGAGGGGGGAGGGGCAGACTCGGGGCCCCCCTCCGGCTCACGCAGCTCGAGGGGGGAGGGGCAGACTCGGGGCCCCCCTCCGGCTCACGCAGCTCGAGGGGGGAGGGGCAGACTCGGGGCCCCCCTCCGGCTCACGCAGCTCGAGGGGGGAGGGGCAGACTCGGGGCCCCCCTCCGGCTCACGCAGCTCGAGGGGGGAGGGGCAGACTCGGGACCCCCCTCCCGCTCACGCAGCTCGTGGGAGAGGGGCAGACACGGGACCCATCCGCCTACGCAGCTCGGGGTGGGAGGGGGGCGCCCTCGCGCTCCCAGGCTGGCCCGCTCCAACCGCCCCGCTCGCGCCCGAGAACTCACCGGCGCGCGAGGCCGCCCGCCGCGGGAAGGCGGGCGGGGGGCACAGGGGAGCAGGAGGAGGGGGGGACGACGCTGGCTTCGGCGGCTGCTGCGCTCCTATTGGCCCAGCGGCCGGGTACAGCGTCAGCTCAGAACGCCATACGTGGGGCGCAGTGAGCCTGCGCAGTGCGCACTGGAACTGCGCAGGCGCCGTGAGAGCCGCTGCCCTCCCTCGGCCCGCACGTGGCTCGCGGCGCGTCAATTAACTGTAGCGAGCGGCAGAGCAGGGGCTGCAAGGGAGCCCCGTGTGGATTGTGCAAAGCCGGGCTGGGGGCGGAGGGGGGACTCGTCCCAGCAGCACAGGAGCCGCAATGCCCTAAGCGTCTCCCCCAGGCCATGCAGCGCGGGAGGGAGCCAGCCTGTAACCCCCGGGAGGATTTAAAAGTCTCTTACCCATTTGTACCTGAAGTCTCATCATAGCTCCCAAATTTGTCGTAGCTGTTGCGGTGATGCCCTGAATTGCACGCCCCTCCTGGTGACCCATTGTAAGGGCAGCTTTGCTCGAGCCAAGCATTTGAGCTTTTATTTAAACCCCCAGACCAAAACAATCACAATAGAAGGTAAACTGAAAAAACAACAAATAGTCTGGTAGCACTTTATAAACTTACAAAACATGTAGAAAGCGGCGAGGAGTCCTGAGGCACCGTATAGACTAACAGAAGTGTAGGAGCATAAGCTTTCGTGGGCAAAGACCCACTTCGTCAGATGCACGAAAGCTTATGCTCCAACACTTCAGTTAGTCTATAAGGTGCCACAGGACTCCTCTCCGCTTTTGCAGATTCAGACTAACACGGCTACCCCTCTGATACTTGAAAACATGTAGAAAGTATTTGTTTGGGGGGAGGAGGGGGAGAGAGAAGAGAAAGGGTATGGTCTGGATTTTTGTTTTGTTTTAAATGTTCCTATATAAGTACGAAACAAGCAGCCCATTGAAAGCACTAACAATATTTCCAATGATTTGAGGATAAGTAAAGGTAATCTTAATACAGGTTGAGTGGCTCTAGTCCAGCACCCTTAGGATCTGATAGAAGGTCAGTATTGTCTAGCAGCATGACCAACACTTCCAGGCTGTGTCTACACTGGGCCACTTATTCCAGAAAAGCAGCCGCTTTTCCAGAATAACTTGAAAGCTGTCTGCACTGGCCGTTTGCTTTTCCGGAAAAGCAATGACGATCTACTGTAAAATTGTCAGTGCTTTTCCGGAAAAACTATGCTGCTCCCATTCGGGCAAAAGTCCTTTTCTGGAAAAACTGTTCCAGAAAAGGGCCAGTGTAGACAGCACAGTAGTCTTTTCCGCAAAAAGCCTCGATTGCGAAAATGACGATCGGGGCTTTTTTCCGGAAAAGTGCGTCTACATTGGCCACGGACGCTTTTCCGGAAAAAGTGCTTTTCTGGAAAAGCATCCTGCCAATGTAGACGCACTTTTTCCGGTAATACTTATAACGGAAAACTGTTCCGTTTTAAGCATTTCTGGAAAAGGGTGCCAGTGTAGACGTAGCCCCACTGTTTATTGGGGTTTTAGAAGACATTTAGGGATAAATTAGAACTAAACAGCACAGAACACTGACAGCCAAGGCTGGTGACTGTAAACAAACTTTATGGGACAGTGGGAAACTTGGTTATGCCCATCCATATAACCCATCCATATAACAAAAATCAGGCCAGATTGTGGATGTTGTCAGACCAGACAGTGCCAGACTAGAGTGGGTCAACCCATATATTTTAGTTTTAAGAACAGATTAATCAATTCAGCTGAGCATCCAAAAGCAGCTGAACTGTACTGGTGAATCTGGCCACTAATAACAATTGATCGATTCATTCAAAAGTTCATGTTCCTATATTTTATAATTGTAACTATATGGAAAATTTGAAGAATCTATATTATATTCCATGATTAACATAATTTAAGTCACAGTGAAGACTGGTAAAATGTGGAATATTTTAATGCACAATTTTAACTCTAATTAGAAAATTTACTTGCACATTCTTAGAAAATTCACTAAAAACTCAGATATTAAGTGTAGTGAGTTTGGGGAGAATATGTTGTACTTTTTATGCATAACGAGAAGTTGCTTTAAATGCTAAGTGCAACTCAACCTGACTTATGGAATCACTCACTACTGGAGCCTCTATTACAAAAAGTCTTACCGGTAATACTTTAAGAAAATGGTCTACATTTACTCAGAACCAAAATACTAACTCCCTGTTTTTATTTAAACATCCTCTGGTAATGTGTGAAAGCTAAAGGCTGAAATATTGTGCTTATGCAGGGGAAGAAGAAAGTTCTTAATAGGTAGCAAGTTAAAACAAACATAAGGAAGTACTTCACAAAACACACAATCATCCTGTGGAACTCCTTGGCAGAGGATGTTGTGAAGTACAAGATCTGTAACAGGGTTCAAAAAAGAGCTAGATGAATTCATGGAAGATAGGTCCACCAATGGCTATTAGCCAAGATGGGTAGGAATGGTGTCTCTAGCCTCTGTTAGGAACTGAGACTGGGCAAACAGGCTACATCAACACGGCACACTTATTTTGGAATAAGCTATTTTGGAAGAAATACTCTGAAATAGCTTATTTCGAGATTGTGCATGTACACTACAGGGAAGCCTCAAAATTAGTCTCGGGCAGGCTCCCCTAATCTGGATGTACTACCTCAATGTAGAGCCCCAGGAAGCACTAGGGAGTAATTACTTTGAATGGGCCTGGGGGAGGAGCTATTTTGAAATAGCAGCAGTGGAGTGTTCACACTACTGCTATTCCAAAAAAAATTATTTCAAAAGAGGCATTACTCCTTGTGGAATGAGGTTTACAGAATCCAGAATAAGCCGCCCGTCATTTTGATATTGCAAAATAACAGAATTGTGTAGACGCTCGCAAAGTTATTTCGGAATAACGTCCATTATTCCGAAACAGCGTTGTTGTGTAGACGCATTCCTAGGATTGGATCAATTGATGATTAACTGTTCTTTTCATTCCCGTTAGGGCACCTGGCATTGGCCACTATCGGAAGATAGAATTCTGGGCTAGATGGACCTTTGTTCTGACCCAGCATGGCCATTCTTATGTTTAAGTGAACCTGACTATAAACAAAAATTGACCAATCTAAGTGAAGTGCAAAAAGTAAACAATACAAATACTGTAAAATCTTTTCAATATTTTAAAATTCCCTGTTTTAAGAAGCTAAAATGTTATTAATGTATGAAAGGAAGTTTTGTTTAAAAAGAAATCTGACTGTCCTTGCATTCAATAGGGGAAGATAAGATCTTGTACATCAAGTTTCAGTTTGGAGCAGTTGTATACAGCAGAGATCCAATCACCTGAGATAGCCCCATACAAAAAAAGTTTTGGCATAGCTAGTAGAGCATGGTTTCTAAAGAATCTTCACTCCCAAAATAACTTTTATTACACCGTGTAATACTTTTCCAAGATGATATTCCTTATCCATAATGCTGGGACCAGTATGGCATATTTTAAAACTGTTTTACTGATCTACAAAGAAAAGAGGTCAGATAGCATCACTGTTGTTCCTTCCTACAACAGTTTTCACCCTCTTTTATATGTCTATCACCAATTTGAGTTAGAAATACATTTAGTTTCCTTTAGAATTCCATTTATTGTCACATTGCTAAACTACAAACTTAAATACTTTTATTTAAAACAAAAGTAGGATACTGTAGTGAGGTTGCACTCTGATAAAACGTGATTATGTTTTTAAAAATATGCTGCTTACTATTTAATACTATAAAGTGAAATACACTCATTTCAGCTTTCCGAGCACTTCTTTTTCTGACTCTCTTTTTTCAGTGTCAGTCCTCATTCTCATGCCACTAAAATAAGTTTCTAAAAATAAAACGAATAAAAGGAAGTACTTCTTCACAGAACACTCAGTCAACCTGTGGAACTCCTTGGCAGAGGATGTTGTGAAAGCCAAGATCAATTATAATCAATCAATTACATTTGTTAAACAGAACTAACATGATACATACAATTGAAAAGCAAGTGACCTCATTACTATCTACTGTGTAAATCTACCTATTGTTAACCACAAACTTTGTATACTGTCTTTTTTTTCTTGTCACATTTTATTTAACCTCATTTTTTGAGGGTTACAGAATCTTTCGAAACGAGGCATTTCTGTCGAAAGATCCCTGTCTTAGCCACGTTTTTTTTTTCAAAAAGTGGCTTCAAAAAAAAAAGTTGTGGCCGCCATTATGCAAATGAAGCACAGGAAATTCAAATTCCGGCTTCATTTACAATTTCAATATGTCTAATTTACATCCCTTTATCAAAAAAGGGATGTAGTTTAAACATACCCAAAGAGACCTTGGGGAGAGGCTCCCTCCCGAGGTCAGATACAGTCTGACCCCTGCACTGCACAGTCTAATATCAGCTCCTCTCCCTTGCCAGCACCATGAAACCCACCCTAGAGCCAGACCTGGACATGCACTTCCTGAGAGCTGCTCTGAACACGGTCCTGGACACAGAACAGGACACCTCCCAAGGCCAGGTAGAGCTGCCTCTTCTGATTCCCTTCTGCCAGGAGCAGCCTCAGCTCCCTGGTCCCTTGATTGGCTGTAGCTGCAGAGACGGTTGGGTGGCAGAGATGGAAGAAACAGCAGCAGGGTTGGCTCCTTCCCTCCAGAGGGGATCAAGTTATCTCCTGGGGGATCCCTTCCTTCCATGCACATTTTGTGTTTTGCCCAACTGCCACCCATAGCAGCTTAGCGCTTCCTTACTCTGCTGCCTACGAGACTCTCCATAGAGATTTGCCAAGGTCATAGGTTGACGAACCAGTTGACATCCTGCCCAGAACCCTTGCTAATTGCCTGCAGTGGGGTGTGAACGAGCAAGGCCAGGCCATGTGTTTGGTGGGGTGGGGGGAAGGGAAGGTTCAATAATGCATCCCACAGACCACAGAGACCCACATCCTGTGGCAGGTGTAGCCCCAGTTTCCGTAACTGACCCTTGGCTCTCCCTTGCTTTGCAGGCCCTGAACAAGATCTTGCCAGAGATCCTGGCTGGCTGAGTCCCCAGACATAGGACAGACTCCACAATATCTTGGAGGGAAGCCCCACAAGGAGGGGCGGGGGCAATTTTACCCTAGATCTTAGGAAGACTGGTCAAGAGAGACTGAAAGATCCATCTCCCAGTCTGTCGTCCTAGCTGTGCCCCTGTGGATCGACCTTGGCCAGGGCAGTAGATGCAATGCAGTGTCAGGCCCTGCCTCTTCGAAGAACAGAGCTCTGCCTCAGTCTGTTGAGCACTAACCACCTGACTGGCTGGAGGAGTGAGAGTCTGAACTCCTTCACTTCTCTGCTGGAAGTAACACAGGATCCCCTGCTAACTCTGTGAGCTGCACACCAGGGTGTGCTTACTCTCATGAACTGAGACTCATTTCCACCTGTCATGACCCCTGTGATCAATTGTCCACCAGAAAGAGCCATGACAGACTCTGGATCCTGAAGTACCTGTGACCTTGGAAAAAAGGGGCTTCCCTAAAAAATCCAACCCACGCTGTCCACACATTTCAGAAACTGAAATTCCAAACATCAGTCTTATGAGATAAAATTTCAAATAAGTTTGCTTTCTCAAAAAAGGTAAGCGAACAGGATTACAGGAAGAAATGAACAATAAACTACATCTACTGTAAGGACTGTTAATGCAACATTTTATTATAAAAAATACACCACAGAAAATGCATAACAGAACTTTAAATGGTATTAGTCTCATGTTTCCCCATATAATACAGTGGGTTCTATACACTACCTCTTAATTTAGATATACTGCACCATCTTATCAGATCAGAGCAGATCTAACTTTGATAGATGCAGAATGTTGATCTGACATGTCCAATATGGATTAGCAGCAAGGTAACATAACACTTACTTGTTTTGCAGTTTTGAAGCAGCTGCAAGGTCCTCCAATTTTTTCTACTTTCTTCCATGCCTACTACCATCCTCAGAAAAAAAAGTTGGCATCTGCTCAATGGGAATTGACGAGAATAAGATGATGAACATGTGCATTTATCCTCCGCTGAACACAATAGCACTTGAGACAATCTGGAAATGACTTCACAGAAGTTGCCCAAATATTCACATTTAGATGGTAATAGAAAATAAACTGATACAGTAAAAATCTTGGAAAGTTTTATCCTAACAGTGAAAGTAACAGCCTGTATAAACCATATTAATGTGAGCTAATGTAACCCTTGAGTCAGTCCTTTATGTACTTGAATTCAAGATGTAGTCACTTCCCACAAAGTGACAAGGTTCAAAAACTGAGGGACTCTAGTTCCAGTCCAAGCTCAGTTGTAGTTTCAGCGTTGAACAAAGATGTACTTCAGAATGGTAGTTGTCCTGGAAGCTAAAAATAACCCATCTTTCATGTAGTGCTTTCCATTCGATTCTCAATGGCAATCGAGCCAGAAGACTTATATATATGATCTCACAGAGCTTCTTTAGAAGAGAAGGTTGTTTATCTCCAACTTCAACCAAAAAGACCTTTTTTTGCTCCCACTTTGGATTTCTTGCCAGTAGTAACTGAAGACTCAGTTCCCTTTGAAGTTTCAAACCATTCTGGTAGCTTCCTCTTTGCAAGCTGAGTCTGGAAGGAGAGAAGTTAGTATAGTATAATACAAGGTGCTACAGTAATAATAGGGACTATTCCACACCTCACCTGAATTGTGCATGTGGAGAAACGCAATGATGTTACATCACTATCAGACTCTACACATGCTGTATGAGCAAAAGGTGCCATATTTTCACCATGACCTTGGTGAACATAAAGTACAATCCACCACTAGAGCAACAGAATGCGCTGGGACGTGGCAGTACAGCATACCAGCATCTCTCTGAAGCGGTTCTTCAGAATCTCAGCTTGTGTTTTAAAAAAAGCCTCTAGCTGTTGCGGTTGCGAAGAAAACCTCAAAAATATGAATAAGTGTCCCTGGGGCAACAACTTGTATGAGAGTCTTCAGAGCCTGGCACAACCCTCTGCCCCACTCAGCCCAATGAGGGGTTCACACAGCTGTCTAGAGAGGACAATTTAAATCAGCGTTTCTTAAAGTGTGTTCTGTGGCACACCGGTGTGCCGCGAGACAGTCGGAGGTGTGCCACAGAGAGAATAGAATTCAAAATGGCCACCCTTAAAGGGACAAGCCTCTTTCTCCCCCTCCCCCCATAAAAAAATCCTTGGTGTTCTCCATAAAAAAAATTATTGTTTGGTGTTCCTTGGTCTTAAAAAGTTTAAAAAACACTGATTTAAATGCTGACATTAACTATTTCTTTGGTCATGGCACATAACAAAGGGGAGGGAGAGCTCTGTACCACTCCCTGTGAGTGACAGCTCCTTTCAGTGGCCTGAGAGAGGCACCAGCATGTCTCCCAACCAAGCCCACAGAGTCTGGCAGAGCCATAAGCATGTACAAGCTCCACCCAGGAGCAGCCAAGCCAGAGAGGGGTGAAGCTGCACACACAAGAGTGACCATATCTCATTTTGGTGATTTCACAGGCAGGCCTTATTTTCTGTGAAGATGAGTGCACTGCAGAAGGGTGGGTGAGATTCTGTGGCCTGCACTGTGCAGGGGGTCAGACTAGATGATCATAATGGTCCCTTCTGACCTTTGAGTCTATGAGTCTACCTCAAAGGGAAAAATAGTAATTTGTATGGATATGTCTACACAGCAAAGAAAAACCTGCAGCTGGCCCATGCCAGTCAAGTCAGGCTCGGAGGAATCAGGCTGCAGGGCTGTTTCACTCCAGGGTAGGGGTGGGGCATGAGGTCTAGGACCCCACGAAGCCTAACAGATTACAGATCAGAGCAGTACCTTGGACTGGGAGTCACTGAACAGTTCTTCTTCATCAGGATCCACGGCAGGCTGATTCCAGGAGGCTAAATGGAGGGAGGTTTGATGGCTTGGTCCACCCCGTACTGCATTCGGGAGTTGTCTGTCATCCATCTTGCTGCTCTTCACAAACTTCCCATTTTAGAAGAAAACATGGCCTGTTAAAGCAAGCTTTCCACTTAAAGCATTAAGACTCAAAATCCTTAATATTGCATATGTGGAAAGTTCTTTACTTTGAAAATAAGCTTACATTGTAGTAAAGGAGGGCTATACAGTGCCTTCTAATGAATTAAATCGCTAGTTCATTTACAACTTTTTGATCCAATCAGAACTTTGGGAAATGGAGCCCCATTATTTCAAATACTAGCTGCTGAAATGTGTGTTTCAACAGCCCTGTTGGTAACATTAGGTACTGTATCCACTTCTTACTGCTCAGAGGTGTTTTTTTCAGTGAAAGGGATAGTTAATATTAGGGATATTAACTTTTGGGTATTTGTGTAAACGTATAACCCCTTAAAAGCTGACTCCCTGCAAGCACTGGCTCTTGCCTGCCTCTCTCCCCACCCACCTATGTGGGAGGCAGCAAGGGGGGACAGGCAGCTCCCCAAGTGTGCCGGCTCCTGCCGGCCCCTCCCCACTCCATGCTGCTGCCTCTGATACAGAGGCAGCAAGTGGGGGAATGGGGAGTGGGTGTAGTCAATAGGATTAATTGATAAGCCCAGGCTTATCAGTTAATTATGCAGTCAATTAACTGCAGTCAATTAACTAAGGCTTTTGTACAACAACGATCACCCTACTCTTTAAGTGCTGGGAAATTTCAGCCCAAAATAAAGCTATTCAGAAAGACGCACAATCAAAACTAGGGTGCTGAAATAGATTACCCATCTCGCTCACTACCAGCAAAACAATTACATGTGTTAGACAGATTTACCCAAGGTGAAGAATCAATATATGGATGATCTTCTTCTTTCCTGGACACAAACTTGTATGTGTGTGTGGTTGGCTTCACTGATTTCCCCTTTAAAAACAATAACAAATTAGGGATGTTAAAATGTATTTAAGTAAACAAACCACTGGTCTGACCCAGTGTGGCCGTGCTTATGAATGACCTGTCATGTAGCGCTTCTGATCTCTGCTGCCAGAGGGTCACAGTGTCCAAAAGTCCATTGTGCTCCCAAATGCCCAGCACAGTCTTCAATCTATCCGAGGCTTTCATAAGGCTCCATTGCGCTATGCATCTGAGCACTTCACAATCTTTAATGTGTTACCGTCACAGCGCCGCTGTGAGGTAGGGCATTATCCCTGCTTAACAGATGGGGACCATGGCACAGGGAGCCTCCGTGACTTGGCCAAGGTCACACAGGAAGTCTGTATAAGATCTTCATAATTCCAGCCAGAAGAAGGTAGCGTATGAACAATGCAGGAGAGACACTTCTGAGCATTCATATCATTTAACCTCAGGGCAGGAAAGAACATGGGATCGCAAAAGCTTCCTTTCTCCACCTGAAACTCCAAACAGCCCTTCTCGTGGAAAACACAGGAGCCACCTGGCTGAAGGAGGGAGGAACAGAGATGTTTGGTTTTCCCCTTTCCACTTGGTAAGAGGCTGTCAACTAAGAAGGGTCCCCCTCCATGTGTGGCTGCTGGGGGCATTATCTGGCCCCATATGCCTTGAAATTACAATGGGAGGGATCACTCCCAGAGGTAATGGGGGAAACCGGTCTCCATTAGCTACTCAGATACCGCCAATATGGCTGCCATCCAATGTCAGTTACAATTTTTGTACCTTAGACACCTGTACTTTCAAGCCCTGAGCAAACCACACACACTTAAAGCAGCAGCTATCAGGAAGTGCAAACTTACAGGCACTTCCAATATTGCCCAGCGCTGTGAGGTCTTCTAGAAACACACTTCCATTCTGTGGTGTATCTGGAATCTTAAACACATTATTTTTGGATGTTTCTCCGGTACAAAGATGATTTAAGTGATCAACCACAGGTTCAGAACTTGAGCTGCAATAATAATGCAACTACTTTCATTGGTACCCGATGTTTGAGAGGTTAATTAGAACACCACTTAATGGCTTTATAAAAACACCTTAAATCTAACAGGCTATTGAAGCAGACTGGTTCATAACTTTGTTTACTAACCTCTGTTTCAGTCCATGAGATTCTTTCCTTGCTTTTCTGGGCTGGCCCTGTACTGGCTCGCAGCCCATCGGACTCAGACAATAAGCTTTTCTTGCCGGAATTACCCGGCTGGCCCACATGCACATTTTCACTCCCTTTCTGCAGCAGGGCAATTGCCATCCTGATCAGGTACAGCTCGATATTTGCAGGAACAAGTTCTTTTATTGCTGTCATTCTGGTCACATCTTGGAGGGAAAATGTACATTTGTGATCAATTCCCCAAGTTCCTGAAGTGTTTCACGAAATTAGAGTTCAGAGAGCACTCCTTTGAGTTTTGGGGAAGAAAGAGTCCACATCAATAGCCACTGAATTTTCCCCACATTAAAGCACAGCATCTTTTATGGCATGGAAGGGACTAAATAATACAATACAATACGCAGCGTTATGTTCATCAAAAAGGAAAATATTAGCCTCATTTACAATCATGCAACCCCACTGCATTCAACTTTCATCCCATTAGCACTCTTCTCCCCATCTTCCCTACCCCTATTCCAGCCTGTTGCTGTACTTTAAAGGCAGCTAGGCTCTTCTACAGTTTTCCTCTTATTTTAAGACACTGCATTGGCAATACTCTGAATTCATTTTCCTGCCAAAGAGGAGTATTGTAGGAGTCTGGCCACCTATGATTGGTAGTAGACAGCAGCAGAAAACAAGTCATTTCAAACTCTTCTCTCTCACTGATCTTGCTGCTTTTCTGCAGCACTGGCCATTGCAACCCTCACCTTCTGTTACACTGAAATTGGGATTCTCTGAGCACCCCGTTGAGTTTATGCAGCCGAAAGTGAGTTGAAGGTGCCTGGATAGCTCCCTCTTACTGCTCCTAAAAATACTTCTCAGTGCATTGAAAACAGCAGAAGTATGAAGGAGTCTGGAAATTGCAGAGAAACAAAACCTCTCCAAAAGCTAACAGGTCATATATATATACAGACAGAGACAGAGACAGAGAGTGTGTGTGTGTGTGTGTGTGTGTGTGTGTGTCTACACCTAACATTTAAAATTGTATAAAACTATCTCCTTTATATTTGCTCTTGTTCTCATAGCGTAAGAATGCGTACCTTTAAATTGGTGTTTAAGAAGATGGCATGGCATTTTTATTGTTTTATTTAAACAAAATAGATTAGAAAAGGACCGTGTTCAATCACAGTATCAATTTTAACACAAAATAACAAACGTCTGTTATTTCTTCATTTTCATCCAGAGCAGAGGTCATTTTCTCAGTTAAAAGTGAGAGAGAGAGAGAGAGAGAGAGAGAGAGAGACAGCAGTCCTAAAGCCAGCAGCAGGCCTCCAAGTCAGTGTTGGGATAAAGAACGACCCTCCCTGGATTGATTCGGAACAGCCATCAGCTTCCGCAGCACAAGCAACACATAACAGCACTTCCAGAATGCTTGCCACCCGATGTTCTCACAGCGCTGTGTGAGCTTTATCATTCCCACTTAGACACAGGCTGGGATTGCCAAAGAAGTCTTGTGCTCAGCTTCCTGAGGTATATTTGAAATCCCAAAGGTTTAGCATTGACAGTGAATACAGAGCTTTGCATCATGGCAGCTCTTTGCATTACCTCAATAACTACCAGAGTTCATTGTCACTACAAGTATTTGTGATAATAGCAAACTAACCAGATAATAGCAAACTAACCAGAGTAACATGTTCTCCTTAACCACATGTTAAGGTCATGAAAGGCACTTTTCAACAGGACCACTTCCAACTCAGCCAAGTGCTTAGGCAGTATATCACATATAATGGGTGACAGGGCTAGTATGCTAAGATTCCTTTGTATTTAGGCCCGAGAGGAAGGCCCTCATTTGTCACAAATATAATTTGCTCTTATTTTGATAAAAGGGGGACTTTTCTGTCATCAAGTCAGCCAACCTCGTGTCAGCACTTCCTACAAACCCAATGTCATGCTACAGGTCTGCCTGAACTCTCCTTAAGGCACCCCCTGCAGCTTCTTCCCCCATCCTCAGCATCACACCTCCAGTGGTCGAGTGCTGTCACTGGCAATCTCCTCCTCAACTCTGCCTTGACCCTCTAACCATTACATGCCACAAGGTGGCACTGGTTCCCTTCATAAGCAATGCCACAGCTTCAGAGAGGTAAGCTGAGAAGGGACCATTATGATCATCTAGTTAGACCCCCTGTAGAACACAGGGGAGAGACCGTCCCTGAATTAGTTCCTGTTTGAATAGAGCAGATCTATGATTAAAAAATACACAACCTTGATTTAAAGACGCCAAGTGATGGAGTATCTACCACCTCTCTTGGTAAATTGCTCCACCCAGTGATTTCCCTCACTGTTAAAAGTGTAAAAACTTAAAACACAACCAATGGTCCTACAGAACCTTCGAGACTAACAAAAATGTAGACGTAAACTGAAAAAACAACAAAAAGTCTGGTACACTTTATAGACTAACAAAACATGTAGATGGTATCATGAACTTTCGTGTGCACAACCCATTTCTTCAGATGAATGGAGTAAGAGGTTCAGGGTACAAATAAATAGCAGAGAAGAGAGGCTAGGGAGGTAAAGAGAAGGATAAAAAATAGGAACAAATATTGTCAATTAGAGTTTCTGTGCTAAATGAGGCTAACAGAGTGGGCTGTAAGTACCCAGAATTTAGCTTTTTATGTCATTAGGGTGTGACATGTAGCGGCCCATCCAGTTCAGGTCTTTGTTCAGACCTTGATTATAGGCAGAGTTTGACAAATAATGCAATCTACTTGCCTGTGGCGAGTAGACTGCAACCCGGAAGTGCCGGGTTCGGGCAATCTGCGTATGCGCAGATCGCTGGACAGCGCGGCTGGCGAGCGGGGCTTGACGCGGTTCGGCGAGCCCTGATTATATGTATTAAACTTGTAAATGAAACCAAGTTCCACAGCTTCTCTCTCCAGCTTTTTTTTTGAAATTGCTTTGTAGATCCGCTAGTGAGTGCCTGAGCAAGTATTTTATTTCTAATCTGATATTTGCTTATAACTTAACAACTGCTCTCAATCTGCTATCTAGAAATAAAGTAATTACAGAATACAACTGAATCATCTCTGGTAAATATTGCCAATATTCTTCATTTTACTTAAAAGGGACATTAGCAGTTTACATCCAAAACCTAGCTTAAAGAGACACTTAACCGAACCTAATATGCACAGAAGTGTTTTCCTAATTTTTGTAGTTAAATGAAACTAGATTCTTCAATAAGCTCTGCGACAAGAGTGTAGCAGCCGAAACACCACAGCATTGTGTTAGCACATGGAAATAAAGGACTATGAAGGTAGCAGTCAGGTATCCCAGCTGAGTGAACACACCACACTGTGCAAGTCATTCAGATTGGATGAGGTTATCTGTAGTACACATAAGAAACTTATCTTGATAGTGCTAGTTAAGAAGTACATAGCTCAGGTTTCAGTGTGGTAGCCATGTTAATCTGCTTCAGCCAAAACAACAGAAATGACATGACTTGCCCAAAACCATGCAGTAAATAAGTGGAAGAACTGGGAATTGAAACCCTGCTTTTGGGCTGTCATTATAGACTTCAATCACTAGATCAGGTGCCTAGATAACATTACATAATTCTGCTAAGTTTTAAAATGCACGTAACTTATTAATTTATGCATGTGGTTCCCTTTGTCACCCAAGTATCTTAACTGACCCAGGTTTATGATGTGAGGAAATTTAAGAACTTTTCAAGGATTCACTTGGCATGCCACTAGTGCCTAGCTATTCACTACGGCCAACATTCTCAAAGGCAGAAGCTGAAGTTAGGTGCCTAAATATGGACACAACTATGTCTGGATCTTTTTACGTATTGTTAAGACACCAATCTTCTGTCTGCACTCAACTCAGAAGTTCTTAAAGAAAGCTCTCCTCTTCCTTACTTCTATGGCTTGAGGCGGTGGCTTGCCATGCACCCTTTCTCCCCCATTGACTTCAAACCCAAGTGGCAGGCTATTTGCCCTGCCCTGCTCAGCTGGGCTCAGAAATGAGTCCTCTGAATGACGGACTCTCAGCAAAAGAAGAAACAGGATATGCAGATTCCCAATGACAGTCACTGATACCTTCAGACTGGAGCTGTGCTTCTCACCTGAGTTTATGGGAGGGTCGTGGATGACATCAGTAATCACCTTCTGGATCTCACGAGTCAGACCCACTCGTTCTAGGTCGACTGGATAGCCAGCTTTCATGGCTTGGAACAAATGAGTGCCAACCACAGAGAGAGGCAGAGACCTGCTTGCACTTATACTCTTCTGGGGAAACAATGAGAGAAGAAATCTGAAGTGGTAACGTGTATGAGATCTAACAACAAAGTAACCAAAGCCCTCTTTGAATCCCATCACTGACTTCCCCTTTCTCTGCTGTATCACACAAGTTTCTTGTGTTCACTTCCAAGACCATCCACAGCCTATTCCTACTTACCTTGGATCGTTCATTCACTGCCTCCTATTGGCCCACCGCTAGACCCTTTATCACCAATTGCTAAATGTTCAAACTAGCACTTTGGTGTTTTCTCCCATGTTGCCTTGCATGCCTGGGAGCTGCTCCTCATAAACCTTTGGGAAACTATCTCCTTATTCTCCTTTAAAATCTTCCTTAGGCTTGGTCTAAACGGCATACTCACTCTGGTTTATCTACAGTGCTTAGGGGTGTGAAAAATCCACCCACCTAAGCAAACTAGTTATGCCGACCTTAAACCCCTGGGGAGAGAACGCTTCCTCTGCGAGAGGTGGTAGCTACGCTGACAGGGAAGAACTGCTGATACAGTGCTATCAAGCTGACGGGACAACACTTCCCCATCAACTTACAGCTTCTTTACCAGACATGCTACAGCAGCATGCTACAGCAGCTGCACCGACATAAATGTGTAGTGCTGATCTGCCCTCAAATGTCTCTCACTAAGATGCCTACAAAAAATATGACAATGGTTAGGCTGATGGTTCACTGAGACCATTGCCTGTCACGCCTTGATGTTTACATGTACTCCCCTGCCTGTCAGTATTAATCAGTTGTCTCTTCTGTTATGTTCATTGTAATTTCTTTAGGGCAGGGATTGTCTGTCTGTTCTGTGTCTGTACGGCACCAAGCACAGCAGTGTTGTAGTCTGGCACTGTGGTAACACAAACAGTAAATGATAATGCCTGGTGCATGCCACTTCACAAACCAACAGCATGAATTGGAGACCAGTGCCTTTGGCTGCAAAACAAGAATGCCAAACCACTTCGCTGGGCACATTTTTCTGATCTCTTTCAGATACTGGATCCAATTTGTCAAAAGGTTTCATTTCAAAATATTATTTCTGGCTTGGAGAGCAAGTTCCCACTGTGGCCCTGAGACCCCCAGACATAGAAACGGTGCTGCTCGGTATGTCGAAGGAGCAGAACCCAGAGCTCCATCCTTTAGCAGTGGCCATGGAGCTGCTCCAGACTCTGCTACACTGGGGTTAGGGCAAAAAGAGACAACGAGCTGTTGCCAGGATCTATATGCTACTCTGGGAGGCTGCATCTCTATGGTTGGCTCCAGACCTCTGGCCTGCTCACAATCCCTTCTACATGGCTATGGAGACAGACATCACCAGGGTCTGCTCTGCTCTCTGGAAGAAGTGGATCAATCCCTGAGCATGGCAATCTACACCATGCAAAGGGAATCCTATTGTCACTGTATATGGGGCCTTCCACAGCTGTTCCTGGACTCCAGGACTTCGTTGTCATAGAGAGAGAGTTTTATGGTAATGTAGTCGCTCTGCTGTGTAATCAGCTCCACTCACATGTTATGGTCAGTTTGTTAAAGCCTAAAACATCACCTCATAAAGCAGCTAATTATCCACATCTTAACTGCAAGAGATCTGTGAATTTAGCAACCTTTGCCAAGTCCTTATGCCGCTGAAGAACACGGGTGGCACTACCAGAATAGAAATAACCAACACAAAATTGATTATTTCACATTCTTTTAAGTGGACTCCATTACCACAGTCTTAGGAGAACCTCTTTGATTTTCCTTTACTAAAGTTGGACTTTTTTAAAGAACAGATTTAAAATTAATTATTTTCCCTGAAAGAATCAGGCTTTATGTTTCTTTTATTGACTTTTCCCCAGACAATACACATAGGGGAAATGCAATAATAATGGTTATTTGATACTGGGCATCAAATTACCTAACACTAATTGTACTATTGCGTCTTGTTAATTAGTCCTTGGGCATTTTAATTTAGTGACTACCTGACAAGGCTCACTCTTACACTCTTGGGAGGGATAACAGAAGCTTGAAGCTATTTCAGCATCATGCCAAAGGATCAAAGAGTTGATAAAAAGTCAGCTGCTTAACAAACCATATAAAAGTAATGGATTACGGAACACGCCTTCAAAGGGCATAGACCAAAGTGCGTATTTCAGCGAGTGTATTATGGTTCTTTGACTATACAACAAATTAATAAAGAGTTCAATGCAAAGTCAATGTTAAGGTCACATCACGATTAAGGATGTTAAGGACTAGTCGACTCCCTTCCTTTGCTGCCTCTTATCAGATAGAGGCAGCAAGTGGGAGAAGAGGGGGTACTGTATTACAAAGCGGCAGTGCTGCACGGAGCCTATACCCTGGGCTCCGTGCGGTGCTGTCACTTTGAAATGCCATGGTGGCATTTCAGAGGATCAGCGCTGCACAGAGGCCAGGATCAGCTGTGCGGTGCTGCCCCTTTGAAATGTTGCCACAGCGTTTCAAAGCGGCAGCGCTGCATGGAGTCGGGATTCCCTAGCTGATCCTGGGCTCTGTGAGGCACTGCCGCTTTGAAATGCCGAGCGGAGCCTGGGATCAGCCAGTGGTACTTCCCACTGGCCCTGGGCTGCACGCGGAGTTCCAATTTTGAAATGCACAAGAGCCTCAGTTGGGGCTCTTGTACATTTCAAAAGAGGAATGCGGAAGTGTCTATTGACTAGTCGAGTAGACAATGGAAATTCCATCGACTAGAAAATTAATTGTTATTTAACATCCTTAATCACAATTAGGAAATGAAGGTCGACTCCTTGTAAGTGGAGTTCTTTGCCAGAGACTCTGCATGCTCACTCCTGCGATGAAGCCAGGATTGTGCAATCTTCTATTTCTATTTCTACATGTTAGTGCACATCCCACCATCAACCCCGGCATTGGTGAGCATTCTGTGGGTGTGGCTATAAAAGGCGGGCTTGGGGCTACTGCAACCTCAGTTCCTTCTGTCTACTAAAGCAGAATACCAAGTAACACTGAAGTTAAGACCCTGCAGCAGTGGGGAATGTGATTACACAGATTACACCTCAAAGAACTCTGATTAGGAGTACCCAAGCTTCATTACTTCTTTGCATATCCTATGCATATTCCCACACTTGGGAAAGTCTGACAAGACAGTATAAGGAAGGAGGGAGCTTAACGAATGAGTGACGCACGACTCTGTCCAACTGTGCTTCAGATCTGAATGCCAGTTCCAATGCATAATGTCTTATAAAAGTGTGAACTGGACTCCATGGAGCAGCCCTGCATAGTTCAATAAAAGGAGTATGTTTGGAGACTGCTACAGATGTACCTCCTGCTCTAGTACAATGCGTTCTAAGAGGACCAGAAGGAGCAAGGGAAACTCTTTGATAAAATCCCTCAATACAAAGTCTAACCTATCTGGATAGGGACTGGACTGAAAAATCCAGAACCTTAGAAGTACTAGCAAATGACACAAATAACTTAGACAAAAACATAAAATTCTTCATTCTATCCATGTAATATAAACTAAGAGCACCCTTAAGCAATGTAACCTAGACTCCCTTTCACTCGAATGAGGTTTAGAGAAAAAACACAGGTAAATTTATACTGATACAGAACTCCAAGACTACCTTTGGAAGGAATGGAGGATGTGGTCTAAGACAGTGGTTCTCAACCGTGGGCCAATATGGCTCCCCAGGGGCCACGCCCTACCTCTAGGGAGCCACATGGAAAAAACGGAACATTAGGTAAATGACGCACCTTTTTTTCCCAACTAACAGCGGCTCTGAGGGGGGCCACAGAAGTAAACAAGGCTCAGAAGGGGGCCATGAGCAAAAAAAGGTTGAGAAACACTGGTCTAAGATCACTTTCTTTATGAAAAGTAGTATGGGGAGGGCAGGCAGTCTGCCATCAATGTATATAATTCAATAATTCTTCTATTGGAACAAATTGCTATAACAAACAGCTATCTTTATAGAAAGATGAAACTAAGAACAATCCCACAGAGACTCAAACAGCAAAGATAAGTTGTGTTAATACTAACTCCAATTCCATAGTGGAACTGGGTCATGAACCAAAGGATATGGATTCAATAAACTTTTTTTTTAAGTTTTTCTCCAGTCTGTAAGAGAAGGTGGCTTTACCCTTCACTTGACTATGGACTGCTGCTGTTGCTGCTAGGTAGACTTTAATAGAGATGATTGAACCCATTGTTTTTAAGCATAACAAGTATTCCAAAACCAGTGGTATAAGGGCTGAATCTGGATCACCTTTCCTGTCTGCTGCCCAAATAATTAATCTTCTCCACTTACACTTTTTCACTTTTTACTGTCCTGGTGCCATCTGCCCACCGCTTATATGCACACAGAGAGATGCCTATCTGGTGAGCAGACCTCTAGATCCTCTCTCTTGGGTAGAAGAACTATACTTGGTCTGATGTTCAGGGACCGTTCTCTGCTGCAAGGGCAGATTTGCCCTTCAATGCACAAAAGGTAATTCCAAGTCACAGTTCCCAAAAGCATGCATATGCAGTTTTTGGTGCAACCTCCATCTCCCAAGCACCTATCTTAGCAGATGTGAGTAACATGGCTGAGATCAGGGTGCAGCCAGCATCACAGCAATCAGAAAGTTGCACTGATATTTAGGCTTTCAATTTTGTACTGTGGGCTCTTTTCAGGCCATTCAAATCTTACATGGTGATACAATGCGAATGGTTTGATTCTGTTTTTGTATCCAGAACAGGGCCACGGTATTCACCAGCCCAGGAGAAATGTCTACATGAAGCCCTATGTACCGTGTTTAAGCCATACTGCTATCTTCCATTTGTGTCTGATGGGATCCAGAGAGAAGTCCAGTGGAAGGTGGAAATGGCACAATTATAGCAAAAAACAGTTCCCAGTGCTGCCTGGCCAGCCAGTATGGATGGGGCCTTCTGTTCCAGATAACGCAAGGATTTGGTATTCCAAAAGCAGGGGCTCATTGGCAGTGTAGGGAGGAGTTGAGAGACAACAGCAACTGATCCAGTCTGGCCCCAAGTCTCATGTTTTAACAAGTGTGCAACCCCCCGATACATTACATTCTATTTTAGACACCCAGCCACTGGGAAATAACTCACCAAAGACTGGTTCTTTTCTTGGAACAGCTTGTATGTTATGAGCTCTGACTGCGGAAGGGGGTGGCCCCCACCTCTCTTCTGCAGGGCTTCTGGCTGCTTTTCCCTAGATCCGCAAGTAGGGAATGTGTCAGTCTGTAAAGTGACAAGCAAGAGTTAGCATGAATAAAACCCAGCAACAGCCACCTGCAAAATCGTCCTGTCAGGTCATCTGCTCTACAGTGGGAAATGGAAGAGCTAGACTTTGAGCAAACTAGACTGTGCTCCACACATAAAGAGAAGAACAAGCCCAAGGCGAGTGCTTATAATTCAACGCACACGCACAAACAGACAGATGCTGAAGCAAACTCTCATCTTGCTTAACTTAGTCGAGTGCTAAGTTTGCGATATGCTGTGTGATTATGCAGGCGCTCACGCTTGGGTGGGAGAGAGGTCTCTCCATGAGCCCTGGACCTACTGCTCTGGGGAGAGATGCCTCTCCCCACTAGTTCCCGACTTGCCATGGCCTAGGGAGAGACGCCTCTTCCCCAACCCAATGCAGCCTAGCACCAGACCTGCCATGGCTGAGAGAGGGACATGTAACCTGCAGCTGCTGCCATGGCATTTCTCCCCCCACCAGCCCAGGTGCAGGGAGTCTTCTCTCCCTGTCTTGGCCCCCAGGCAGCCTCCATACCAAGCCCTCCCTGGAACCCACACTCCCAACCAGAGCCCTCAGCCCCCCTACAATGCATCCCTCTGCCCCAGTTCTGAGCTTCCCCTCCCCATACTCCAAACCTCTTGACCACATCCCCACCACATTCTATTATGTACACAACAGTGAGGTGATGTGTTACACATTAATTCCCTACCGATGTGCGCAATAAACTTCATTCCGCACACAGGTGGGAAAAATTAGAGCAGGGGTAGCCAACCCATTCCGTGCAAGCCAATATATCAGTGGATCCAGCATGAAGAGCCAGGGCAAAGTTGTCTTTAATGGCCGCACTGGACAGCTCCTCTGCCCTGGAGAGAACAGGGAGCCAGGAGGAGAAGGCCGTTTTCAGGGGCACAGGGTTGGCTTTATGAGCTACGGGGGGAGGGAGGGAAGGAAGAGCCACATGCGGCTCGTGAGCTGTGGGTTGGCTATGGCTGAATTAGAGGAAACGTTGCCTAAGGGGGTCACAAAATAACTGGTGTCTGGACTGGCACACACTGGACTGGTTGGTGAGTCTGAATTAGTTTGCACTGTTAAGAGAGTTTGATGCTCATGTGTGCTGCAATACAGAGGTGCAGACTTGTCTTATTTTTAAATAAATAAGTATTATTATATATTCTAAATTAAGAATTTTTTAAAATGTCTTGACAAGACGCCTTCTCTCACCCTCACTCCACACACACACACACACACACGGTTCTGCCTCCATGGAAGTAGCCAACAGAGCGTGCATCCCAGCAACCTAATCTGTGAAGCAGAGAGAAAACTCTCTGCAACAGTGAGAAACAGTTATTTCTACCCCAGCAAAGACAATTCAGCAGACACTCTTCCTGCCTGGATGTATCTGCTAGTTGGATTCTACAGACGCTAGGATGGAGGAGAAGAATCTTTTCACCTTCAGGGTAGCATAAGGGTGCCAAAACTCAGTATGTGATTTGTGTCACCGGTGGCACGGAATCTCCTCTGTGCTTTGTCTGTTGCCACAGTGATCAGTGAAGAAAGTACACGGGGCCAGGGTGCCACCATATGGAGCTGTTCCCTGGCGCTTTTCATCAATAAATCCCAAAGCATTTCACCAAGGATGTCAGTATCATGATCTCCATTTTACAAATCACAAAACTGAGCCACGGAGCAGTGAAACAACTAGCCCAAAGTCACAGCAGATCAGCAACAGAGCTGGGGACAGAGCTCTCAAATCTAAGTCCAGTGCTCTGTCTCCGAGACCACAAAGAGGGTATCACAATGTTCCATGAAACAGTGTGTCCATTGGCCAAAGCATCCTTCAGCAGAGTAAGGGCCACCAGTCTCCCAGGATGGGCCCATAAAATAGGAAGTGAAGTGAGCCCTACCCTCAAGCCAGAACAGGCAATACTCTGACCCCGACAAAAGCAAAATCCATATGCCCAAATCTCCAAATGGAAGATCAAACCTGGATCAGCTTTATGTGCTGAGCCAGAAACATCTGAAACAGTTCTATGGTTGTCATGGCAGCCATGAGATAATGGACCCATCCAGACTATTATTTTTGTAAGGACATTCACGACCCTGAGGACAATCAGCTCAGTGCCAGAAGCACCAACCAGACAGAATTCAATCAGCTCAGCAAGGGACCCTGCGGGCAGAAAGATGGCACGTACAGATACATATTAGACTGGCTCTCAGACTCAAGATGGACATTGTCAGGAGTTCAGTTATGGGGTAGGAAGTTTAGGGGGAAGGGTGTGTGTTGGGCAGTTGATGGCAAGCTTCCTGCATTTAAGATCAGATGCAAAGTGCACAGTCCTAGACTTCCTCAGTCCTGCCTAGGAGCATGGTGAACCGAGCACGGTAAGTACCTAACAAAAGAGAAATGACGTAGCAATTGTCCTGAAGGAGACAGGACCTGAGTAGTCATTCAGCAAGTTCCAGGCCATGTTTCTTCCATCATTAAATCACAGCAAGAGAACCTTACCAGCTTGTGACCTTGCCTTAAATAGCCTGCACTACACATTAGCAATCCACTTCTGGGGTATCACACTATGGGTCTATCTTCCCTGCAGTTAACTGCATGGTGATTATTCATTTGTAACCTCTCAGCCTCATCCTGTCCATCTGCACCTTCTCCACTGAGTTTACTGCTGTTTTCAACCCACGTTGGATGGCTTTTGGAAAAAAAAGTTTATAAGAAGATCCTTTCCACTTTATTCAAAAGAATACAATTGTCAAAATAATTTAACTTCTCTAGTCTGCTTTTAAAATTTTTCTTTAGAATACCTGATGAGGGTTTCAGTAGGTCAATACTCAACCACTGTATGTTCTTTTTATAGAAGTAAAGATGGGAATTTATTTTAAAACCTAATTTTAAGCTGTACCAAAGGATTGTAATTGTGCATTGTATTTACTGACAATTTAATGGCAGCTGTCTACATTCGCCTACTGTGAATTTAACTGGCTCCCATCAAACATCTAAGAATTATACCCTCAACTGTACAGCTTTTCCTCTAGCGTTCTCTACATCAGAATATTCAGATAACTGTAAACAGAAATATTCATTTCTTTCAGTTACAGATTTTCCAAACACTATTGTTTAGGGCCACATTCTGCAGTCTGCCTTTACTGGGAGTTTTGCCTAAGTGCAGGCTTTGATCCACATTTAGCACCACAAATGAATACATTGTTTAAAAATGATGGCTGACCAAGTCCATTTTGCTTGTTCGCAAATATGGGCCATTGAAATTCAAGAGCTGGAATGCTGATTTTATTTAAGACTAAGCCATTTTGAAAAAAAAAAAGCACTGATGACAAAAAGAGCTCAGTTTGCAATTTACCATGAATCCTAAAACTAGGCTGAATATTTACTAGCTATTTTAAGAAAAACTGGATGCCTGCCACACTCTAGTGAGTTTATATATGGGTTCTAAAAGAATAGAAAGCAAACTTGGGGAACTGGTGAATAATCAGGCCTCTTCTAGGTGTTACAAGATGTACCCAATTATCCCATACTCAGAAGATTTCATTCCCAGAACTGTCTGGCTGGGAACTACAGCCAAACAATCTTGGTGTATCAAGCATGGACTAATTTCCAACCTCTCCTGTGCTGCCATCTGGCCTTTCTTCCTGAAGAAATAACAGTGAGGTTCCTTTCTTTGTTACCAGCAACCCACGAGCATGCTGCTGTCTCCATTAGCAGGTTCCATTGGAACAAAATAAACAAACTTGGACTCTTGTCACCAACAGGGCTGGTGTACTCACAGCAAGTATTACTCCACAGCTGTCAGGAGGAGGAGGATTAGGCCAAGTGTTTCCTCACCTTCTAGTAGCCCTTTTGCCAGACAGAGAGATCAAGCCAAGCACCAAATTGCTGAAGTCTACATGGGATTTAGATGAGGAATGAGGCTCTTACCACCACTGTGTTTTCCTTGTTCTCCAGGCTGTTAGTAGGTTCCACACGTATTTACACAGTACCTAGCACATATCTAGTATCATCATATACTGTGTAATCTGGAACGTCTGGAACTAGATAACAATGATTTCCACTGCATATGTGAAAAAATGAACAGCTACAAACATAGGTGTGGGAACTAGTGGTGCTGCCACATGCCCTGGCTTGAAGTAGTTTCTGTCACATATAGTTTGTTCAATGGCTCTCACCACCCCCACTTTACAAATTATTCCAGCAGCCTCGGCTACAGAGAAGCTTGTAATCATATGACATGACACGTCTAGGGAGAGGAAGACCAATCTTCCCCCACATCCCAGTCGCCAGCCTGGTCAGTTATCGAAGAAGTGTTGAAGACAGCCTTTTGAGTAACCTACAGGATACTTAGCTATGACGTACATGAGAATCTCAGGAGCAACCATCAGGAGGGCATCTAATTTGCCACATACAGACTGGGCAAGAGAAAGCAAGAATCCTTAGCAAGAAGTGGGAGAGAGAGAAGATGGGAAACAGTGGAACACAAAGGCTGTCTACACACTGGGCCACTTATTCCGGAAAAACAGTGATGATTTACTGTAAGAAATCAGCTGCTTTTCTGGAAAAACTATGCTGCTCCTGCTCGGGCAAAAGTCCTTTTTCCGGAAAACTGTTCCGGAAAAGGACCAGTGTAGACAGCACGTAGTCTTTTCCGCAAAAAAGCCCCGATCGCGAAAATGACGATCGGGGCTTTTTTTCGGAAAAGCGCGTCTACATTGGCCACGGATGCTTTTCCGGAAAAAGGGCTTTTCCGGAAAAGCATCCTGCCAATGTAGACGCTCTTTTTCCGGAAATACTTATAACGGAAAACTGTTCCGTTTTAAGCATTTCCGGAAAAAGGTACCAGTGTAGACACAGCCAAAGAGAAAAACAAGGGCTAGAAGAAATGAGAAGAGAGGATCTGAGAGTGTATTTTGAAAACTTCTTAAGAAGCCTGCTTAGAAGCACACCTCCTCTGCTCTGCTTGGAATCCTTCACATTGCTAACCAGAAGAGCTGCAGGCCACTGCCCAGGGCCAGCATTTACTGGGTCTGCTGCAGAGGAAGCAGAACCAGCCCTGAGGAGGCATGAGAGGCAGGTTTTGCTCAGAACCACCATCTTGAGGTGATTCAGGAGGATTCTTCACAGGCTACAACAAGAGTCCTGTCCTGTAACTGGAGGAAGGATGGGGACCATGCCAGAAAGCCTGAAAAATGGGACTGGTAAATCACAAGGGTTCCAGCAGGGAAGCTGAAGGCCCTGCTAAGGAAAAAATTTTACCTCCAGATTATTTTCTTGGCAAAACTCCTTGATATCATGCAGGAGAGGAACCAACATGGCAGATTTTGCATCAGATACGCCATCAATTCTCTTCACATTTTCAACAGTCGTCGGCCTATTTTGGGTGGAACAAGAAAACAATGGAGAGTTACAGTGTAGTGCTGAGTTATATGTAGTACAGAACAGGAATGGCAATCCCTGTTCTACGCAGATTACATGGACAGGGATGACTCTGCCATCATGACACTGAGAAATAACATGACTAAAATGCAGACAAAGGTCTTATAATAAGGACTGTGGAAAAAGTGAGTGGCTTTTTGCTAGTGCTTCATGTTTTCTGGCATGCAGATTATTTTGCAACTATATCTAATGTATTTTTTATGTTTTATCATGACATACTGGCTATAAAAGTTGGGCTTCAGCCAGTCACTTGCAGAGGTCAGAAAGGGATTTCCTTTACAATGTATTCCTGTTTCTTTGTGTTTTTCTCTTCTTTGAAGCTTTTGTCACCAGTGTGTGGTGAGCACACACGCCTAACGAGGAATGGCAATGAGTAAGCACTTAAAGAGTCGTCATTTTTTGTTACTAACTTGGCTTACAGGTATGAGGGGAAGACGCCAGAGCCCCTCTGAACTGAAGACTTTACCTTATTTTTGCCATGTCCACCAGTATTTTATTTGTTGCCAACACAGCTGGAGGAATATCTTTCTCACTGGCTAGCTTCTGCCTGGCTGCCAGCAGCTTGCCATACAGAACAGTCTGTAAAGAGCAAAGCCAATGTATGAACACATGTAAGACATTACTTTAAAAAAACACTTTAGGTCGAGAACTTAGAGGTGGTTAAAGTATGGAATGAAAACTTCTACAAGAGAAAGCAAACTACAGTACAAATCCAAACCTGATAAGCAGCCATAATCTAAACCATATCCACACTATAAACTCAACATGCTTAAGCGCTCATCAAGGACTTCAGTTCAAGGCACCTTTCTAATGTTAGATGTGAAAGCTGAGAAATCCAGTTACCAACAGTTTCTCTGGTGATCTTTTGGAGGAACAAGGAATGGTCTCTAGAACTGTGTTAGATGTACACACGAACAATTCAAATACATGTCTTACACAATCAGACACCATTTCAATTTAATCTACTTACGTGCAGTTCCTTCTCTCTGGATGAAACAGCAGGTTCTGGGGACTTCAGTGGCACAGGAAGAAGTTTGATTGGTGACTGCTCCATGTCACTATTAAATTTAAAAAAAAATCAAATATCATATTCATGTTCCAAATGATCAATTTACTTTACAGCAGCTAGGCTCATTTGAGATAAGAAGCTTTGAAAGCACTAATGTAGATGAGCCAGACAGACATGTGGTCTCAGCAGGTTTGCATTAAAACACATCTCCAAAGATACACCAGAATCCATAGTGACAGTTATCCTGGTATAAAACTACAGGGCTACGTCTACACTGCAGGCTTCTTGCACAAAAGGTCTTCCACAAGAGCGCGTCCACACTGCCATATGCTTTTGCTCAAGAGACGTGCTTTTGCGCACGTGCATCCATGACAGTGTGGATGCTTTCTTGCTCAAGAAAGCTCTGATGGTCATTTTAGCCATAGGGGTTTCTTGCGCAAAAAATTCACGTTGCCTGTCTACACTGCTTTCTTGTGAAAGAGCTCTTGAGCAAGAGGGTTTATTCCTCGTGGGGAGAGGAATAATTCTTCTGGAAGAAGCCCTGTTTTTCTACGCTGTACTGTAAATTTACTTGCGCAAGAACACGCGTGCAGTGTAGACACCCGGCAAGTTTTTGCGCAAGAACAACTGTTCTTGCGCAAAAAGCCTGCAGTGTAGACGCAGCCCAGCAGTATAATTATACCAGTATGGCTACTCTACTAAATCTCTCCATTTAGACAAACCTTAATTCTATACTTTTCCCAGAGAACAAGCTCTTTCTCCCTCTGATGTGAAGAGTGGACTCTGACTTCACTTAACTTCTAACTTCTCCAGGTTAAGGCCTCGTCTACACTTATATGAAGATCAATGCTCTGGAGATTGATCTTCCGAGGTTCGATTTAGTGGATTTGGAAAGGACCCACTAAATTGAATGCTGAGGGTGACCCTGTTGACTCCAGTACTCTATGGGGTCGCAAGGAGTAAAGGAGGTCAATGTGAAAGTTTCTCCCATTAATCTCCTGAAGTGGGGCCGTCCCAGGAATTCGGTTTAAGGTACGTGGACTCCAGCGACAAATTTCTCATAGGTGGAAGAACAAAAAAGAGACAGAATCACCAGGCATGTGAAAGAAACTGGCTGGGGTACCTCCCCATCTGGGACTGCTCCAACCCTGACCCTCTGACCCCCTAGCACCTTTTAGGGAGAGAAGGGGGGGAACTTCAGCTCCTCCCCCTATTCATACAGGAATATTGCTGGCTGTTCCCCTTCATCAGGGAGTAAGGGGAAGTGCACAGTTGGCTGTATTCCTCACTCTGGCTGGTGAGCACAGGGGGCAGACAAACCTAGACCCACTCCCCACAGATGTGCCCACTGGACTTGCAGCAACCATGGTGAGACACTTCTCACCTGGCTCCAAGCTGCTGGGGTGACAGGGAGGGGACTCTCCATTCTTACCGGGGAAGCCTGCATACTGAACCCTCATCCCTAGTCACACCCCAGAGCAATGATTTCAATGAAGAAAAACAAAAATTAATTGAGCTAAGGATCTTAACAATGCCAGGTAAATCTTCTAGTATGATATAAATGTTCAATTACTGGTTCAGCTCAGGTAATCAGCAATAAATGCATTTTACTGTCACTTTTTGAAATTAATGTGAAATGTATAAGCTACTTCCAAGCATGATCTAATGTATATTTTGTGGCATTTTAGCATGTCATGTGAGGCAAAATTAAAACCGTGTACCTAATTTACCTATCAAAATTATTTGCTCTCTTACAGCAGTTTTAGAACTAAGGTTTCAGGCAGAGAGGTTATACCTGGCTTCTTAAAAGATATATGAAGTCTGGCTCCTGCACAGCATTTTTCTTCATATAAATGATTTTAAACATTGAAAACAAAGGTCATGTTTACACCACAAATAGAATTACTTTCTTTCTTCTCTGACAGTTGCTTTACAGATACCACTTTTGCAACACAGGAAAGAAGTAATAAAGAGATGAGTAGAAAAAATTTAGTACATTGTACCTTTTATTTGAAACATTTCTCCTTGAAGAAATGTTACCTGCTCCTTGATAAGAAAACATTTCATGAAAATATGTCTGTTAAAAAAAAAAAGTCAGAAAATCACAGCAGGTAACCACAACACAAATATTAGCAGTAAAATATTAATTTACATGTTTATACCAATTTGTTTAAAGATATTCAGTGCAGAAAGAGATTGATATTTTAAAAAACACATTGCAGTCTGTTGCATGATAGAAAAATATTTCCCTCTTAATACCTGGCTTCCCTCTAGTATATTATTACAAATATACACGATACATAAGTAAACAGCAGGTGTGTTACAGTATATTGATTCTCATTAGAAAACAAATTCACAATTTCTAACCTTAGTCACCGTACAAGAGGAAATAGTAATAAAACAACAATTTACAGAAACAATGGATGCTTTCATATAAACAGGTCACTATGGTAAAATATGTTCATGTTGTAAAAAACTAAGAAAAGCTACAAAACTTGGAATAAAGGGTTCCATCTCTAGCTCTTGCACCAATGTAAGCACTGACATTTCACCCCATTTTTTGAAACTCCTTAGAAACTGTAGGGCTTTCTTTCCATTTAGTTTACATTTAATTTAATCCCAGATAAATAATTTCACCCAGAGTTATGGCTGAGACCACACAATATACAATGTTACTGCTGTTTCTCATTGCCTCGTTACATGTAATTTGCAAACATTTGGATTATGAAATCCCGAAGAAGGGATTGTGATTTTCCAATGTCTTTTGTGAGGCACGTAATGCATATTTGGGTGTTAATACTACACTTTACTTTCACGCGTTAATGTGTTCACAGTTTATTCCAGTGTATTCAATTATTTTGTTCACCAGACAACTCACAACTGTCGTACAAATGATTTGTAAATTCTAGACTGTGTTGCTTTATGGTGCACCTTAAGTTTTCAGACATGTGAACAAAACTTTGTAGTTAAACTTGCTGATCTGCAGTAAGTTTGTTGCATTCCTCACTTGCTCATCACTAAAAAAAATACTGAAGTGTACGATGAGTACTATTTTTCTGTAATACAGACCTGTTTTGCTGGTGTCAGCTTTGTCAACATCGTATTTGGAGAATGTGATCCTGCATCCAATGTTGTCTGTCTCTTGCTGTAAGAAAATGAATTCAAATGTAATAACATATAGAAAAATAATCACTCTTACTTAAAGGCTGATATTTCAAAATAAACCTTGGGAGAGGATGGTTTAGAACTCTAAGAGCAAAGAAAGGTTACATACCATATGCAGTAACTAGAGTTCTTTACAATGTGTGGTCCACCATAGATTTTTTGCTAGCTACATCAATTGGCCCCTTTCCTCTTCATGCTTCAAATTGATGGCATAGGGGTGGCCTGCGCTGAATATCTCTCTATTTACCTTTCTACTGCAAATAAACCTAGCAGAAGGCTCCACAGTAGAAGGGATGTGGAAGGTTAGTGGAATAGATAGGGATAAATTTTGAGTGTGGTCTTCCATCCCCATGGAAGAATGTGTAAGGGCTGGGTCAGCCCTAAGGGCCACAAATGCATCTACTCTTCTAGCTGAGGAGATGGCAACCAGAAAAGCAACCTTCATCAGCAGGTGGACTAAGGAACATGAAAGCTAAGGGTGCCTCCTTAGATGACACAAAGTACCACTTTTCTGTTGTATGTGGAGCAGGAGCACAAGTGGTCAAATATCTTGGCTGGTTCTAAGGGCTTGTCTACATATACATTATGTCAGTATAATTTATGTCTCTCAGGGCAGCGAATAACCCACCCTCCTCCTCCAAGCGACGTAAGTTACACCCACCTGGGCACCAGTGTCAGTGGGAGAGGTTCTACTACCAACACAGCTACCACCTCTCAAGGAGATAATTTTATCAGGCCCACAGGAGCCTTCTCCTGTCAGCATAGAGCATCTTAACCAGACATGCTACAACAGTGTAGCTCTATTGGCAGAGCAGTGCTGCTACAGCATTTCTACTGTAGATCAGTGTCATTTGACTGGAGAATTCCAGTCTAGTTGTTTATGCGGGGTGTCCTACACTACCTTTAGAAGGGTCTGGAGCATGTGCATGACACTCCTCAGAAGATTCTGAAATTGCCTGGAGCCATAAGGGGATGTCAGTAAAGCCACTACAACCCTTCTGTGGTCATGAAGATGACCATCTTATTGGAGCTGCCGGTTCCACATGATACGGTTCCTCCTCTTCCTCCATTAGTTCTTGAGGTTCAGGATATCCTCTGCATGATGAGGGCTGTCTAGACTGAGTGTGATTGTATAGACTTTGGATGTCACGTATATGGATCCCACAGCCCCAGTAAGACCTGTGTGAGAGGTAATATGGAAACTGGGATGGTCCCAATGAGGAGGGAACCACTAATTCTGAGAGGTATAGTCCTTCTTGTGCAAGCAAGACTGTGCCCAAGAGACCATCCCCCAAAAGAACCAACCATACAAACAAAAACTTAGTGTGGGAATCTCCTCCTATGCACAGGCAGTCTTCAATAGTGGGATTCACATATTTGTTCTCCCGAGATACAAGTGACAAATGCATAATATATATGGCTGTAGTTACCTTTGGGTATGAGGTTTCCTTAGATATAGTTCTTCACTGAGTTGTAGCAGAAGGGTCCGACAGCGCTCACTCCTAGCTTTACAGAGCCAGTCTCTACCCTGTGAGATACAGAGCAATCCACTCAACTTTACATTGCCAAAAGAAACCTTGGAGAAGAAAGTCTGGAGAAGAGTGAAGCTTAGGGGGCAGGCACAAGATTACCTTCTTAGTAAGCTCACACACAGTTGCAAATTTGCTTCGACAAGAAACTTCTTTAAGAAACCCCTCGGTGATGAGCTGTCGGGCCAAAGCCTTCCACCAATTCTCTGGCCAATCCTTTCCACTGCCAAAGAGGGCATGATTTCGGTATCTGTCTGGGAGACGCTGAGAATTCTGAAATCATTCAAACATTTTGGTCAGATTCCTGAGTTCCTAAAAAAGTACTCAACCATAACTGACAAAGCACAGAAATAGTCATGCAGTCCTGTACAAACGAAAGCCATCGTTACTAAAATTAGGAACTGAAAATGTCAGAAATATGGGAGAACCCCTCCAAGTCTGAGTATGTTTGGCAGAGTCATTTAATACCCCTTAAAATGGCTGAATTTGAAACAGCTGAGTCTGAATCCTTCCCTTTGTCCGTTGTTAGAGCTCGGTCCATGATCATGTGTCTCACTGCTTTCACCTCGAGTAGTGACCAGGTTTCTTCCTCTGGGCCTGTTCATTCTACTTCTGGGCCTTCCTAAGGACTGTGGCCAGAATTTGCATGTCTTTTAGGATCCAGGGCCACCTCTCCCCCAGCATCTCCTGAACCCAAGACTCCCAATTCTAAAGGCAGAAGGACTCAGGTAGCTTTTCCCCTTGTGTGGGCTGCAGAAAAGAGCCAATTAGAGACTCCAGCCGGTAGAGGCAAAAGCAGCCAAAAAAGTGATTTGTTGCACTATGGGTAAAAAAGGTAAAATGGGTCTCAGCTGGGGCCAGTCTTCTCTCAGCACCCCTGTGGACCGAGAACTGCTCAGGGGAGATCCTACACACACTCTCTGGGGCACTAGGACCACTGGCTGTGGCCTGGGGAGGGGGAGGGGAAGGGGATTGCATTTGTTGGCAGCGCCACAGAGGAGAGGTTTAAGGAAGTTTGAAGGCAGCTAATGAGATAGTTCTTCCCAAGCACGATGGGCAGCATGGGAGAAAGCACGAAGGTATGTGCTTCTAAACTTAACAAGTGGATGATGGAAGCTGACATCATGGCCCAACTTGAAGTTGCAGTCAACATCCTTAATGTGGATACAAGATAGTAGGTCGGGGTAATAGGGCCTTGAAAGTGAAGACAAGCAGCTTGTGTTTGATGTGATAGAGAAAGGGCAAGCCAGTGCAGGGAGTCAGAGAGAGAACTGACTTGGTCAAAGTGATGGGCTAGAAAAGTGATCCATGAAGCAGCATTGTCAACGGGTGAAGATCACATCTGTCATGGCCAAAGAGAAAGATGCTGCGGTAATCAAGATATGAGAGGATGGGAGCCTGGTTGAGAGTTTAGCTGTGTGAACAGACAGGAAAGGCCTTATCCGAGACATATTATGCAGAAACAATAGGCAAGATTTAGGCGTACCTCAGATGTGAAGATCTAGAGTGGTCTGAATGAAAGATGACACCCAGGTCACAGGTCTGAGTGACAGGTAGGATGCTGGCAATGTCTACAGTGATGACAGGTAGGATGATGGCGTTGTCTACATTTCTGGGTACGGGCTAAGGTCTCCTACTCCAAGTTAGCTCCTATTACTTCCTGCTATTATGTGTAATTGGGATGAATGCAGGCTAAGAGCAGACCTAGGGGGCGGCAAGGGTAAGGTCACGGTGCACCAGGTCACAAGGGAACAGTACTGTTCCACTCGCCAGGGGACTGAGTCAAGGCCTAGTTGTGTGGAGGGCAGAACTGACAAAGAGGACCATCACAGACCAAGGACTCTGTGAGTGACGTGTGGGTTTCTGCAATAGAGAGAAGAAAAGAGAACGATACCTCCTCTATGTCTGTATCACAGTCCTCTATGCCTTTCACATCCAAACTGAACTATTTCAGTGAGCCTTCTTGCATCTTGGATTACCTTAAGTTATGGCAAGCTGCATTACATACCTGCTCATTTAGTGATCACTGCCACATGCAGCAAATCCCACCTGAAAACTGTGCTGAAACCTACCTATTTGCTTCTGGGTAAAATGCAAGGTGCTGACTTTTACCTACAAAAGACCTCTAGGGTATGTGTTTCAGAAACATCACTGACTCCCCATCCCACCCCTCCAAGCACCATCTTCAGACACTTCAGACATTTGTGCTGTCCCCAGATTTCAACTTCAAGAGACTGGAAGCAGAACATTGTCAGTGGAGGACATGACAGGAATCTGCTTTCCTGATGTCGTTAATTCACAGGCATAGCTGGCACTTGTACTATTCACACAGGGAGGACACCTGAACAGGCTTGTTTCTGTTGTGGGGATAAAGCAGTTCTTCCAAGAGTTGACTACTGGTTGTTTCAGTTTTTAAAATGGTTGCAACTGTGTGTGCCCGAAAGGAAAAAAGGGAATATTATTTTTATAAACATTAAGCAAACAAACCAAATTAGGCAAACTCATACAAACATAAAATCACAGGACAATCAAACAAGAGACATTTCTAATTTCCCTATCTGGCCCTGTGGGAGACTCTGTATTCCAAGAGCATTTTGCTCAATTAAGCACACTCCAACTCACCTGTCCTAATCTGAGATTAGCCACAAACCAGATGAGAGTGGCCTTGTTTAAATGCACATATGCTGCCAGAGTAGTGGAACTCAAACATCACCCACAGCAACAGACACAGAATCAGAGAAACGTAAGATTGAAAAGGACCTCAAACAATTTCTGGGATAAACGGATACTTAATAAACTGTGAATTGGATAACTGACTGCACAGAGTACCAAATTTATGTGACACTCTAAAGATCACTGAAACATGCGTTTCTCCCAGTTTTTCATACTGTTATGCTGGGCTATCTTTATTCAAGTCTTTTATATTCCTGGTTTTATTTTTATAAGGCCTTCATTAAAACTTTTTAATCTACTGATTTTTGAAATACAAAAGAATGGGTTTTTATTAACAGGTACTGCATCAAATACATTATTTGCTAAAATATATATGCTAAGGATATGTAATATGATATACATTCTTTCAAAAAAATGCTCAATGAAAACAACATTTACATTTAAAACACATAAATATATGTAATACAATGGATTTTTCATGTAGAATTTTACTAGATATGGCCATTTACATAGGATTAAGAGTATTTCAACAAGGAATTATCCAAAATAATGACTAACATCTTAGATATTATAAAATACTAGAATTATGATTAAAAGACATTCACATAAGTGGCCAAAAAGATGGAGCATAGAGCGTCTTGCATTATTTGAGTTGATTAATGTGGTCATGTTCTAAAGTTGCATATTTTTCTAACAGGGGTGGTATAAAATTTCAGTCAAGGCAACTTCTTAATTTGAAGATTCCCAGGAGGACTTGTTCAGTACAGTATACTGACTCAGTTTTCAAATAATAGGTGAAATCTGATCTCTCTTGTGACCACCTGAAGTCTGTCTATGAGCCCACCTGTTCCTATTTGTTATGAAAAGACACTGCTAGGTTAAATAAAATCTAAGACAAAACAATTCTTCATGGACATTACACAAACCTTTTAAAGAATGTACATATCTTATAAGGATGGGTCATTTCCTAGGATTTTCTAGGATATTTAGCCCTCTCACAACTTTCAAAGTCTTACAAACACCTTCTAGAAAAAATAGAAACAAAGCAGTTGAGCTGAGGTTTACAGCTGGAGATATTTTTTTCATTACCATTTTCATTGCCATTTGAAGTAGTCTTCAATTTTTGCATTATAGCCTTTTAACTTAAAAAAGTCCAGAGGCATATAAACTGTGATCCTGATATTTTATTAAATATATATCAATGTCAAGTTTTTAACAAAATTTACTCCTAATAAAAGGAAAAAATTAATCAAGTAGGGATTTCCATACTATTAAAAGTAATTTTCTTCCAAGCTAAAAACCAAACTTTTTCAAAATGTTTGTTTTGTGACTATCTTTATATTTCATTCTTCAAGGATTGTTTTTTCCCAGGATGTTTAAAAAGCCTTTGTATGCAAGGATCATTCAATGTCTTGCCTCAACAAGGCTACCAGATTAAGTCAGCAGGACAAAAGTGCTTATCATCACAAGCATAATCTTCTCTTCCACTCAATCACTATACAAAAACAATCCCTCTTAGTGTTAATGGCAGTTACATAACTGCTGAAGAAAGGAATATCTCCTTCGTTTGGAAAGATATTTCAGCTGTTATTAACAATACAATTGATTAAATCCAAGGTAAAGTGTTCATAACCATTGGAAAAGTTTTGGTAACCCCTGCAGTATTCGTGATTACTTCTACTTGTTCAAAAGTCAACTCTAAACAAATCAGAAAGAGACAGTCTATCAGTTAAGAGAGAACTCATTACACTGCTAAATATAGGATCTTTGCATGGATCCAAGCTCTTGGGCTAGAAAGGCCTGAGAATGTTGAATTTTTAACCTTTAGAAAAAGGAGCCTAAAATTATAAACACTTTGGGGCAGAGATGATCAATTTATTAATTAAAAACAACGAATAGTCTAGTAGCACCTTAAAGACTAACAAAACATGTAGATGGTATCATGAGCTTTCGTGGGCAAAACCCACTTCTGCAGATGACTGGAGTTTTAAAAGTCCAGATCCAAGAATAAATAAGGGAAGGAGGGAGGAAGGGGAGAATGAAAAAAAAGTAGTGAATAGATTGTTCAAGATACAAGAGGCTGATAAGAACAATTAGCACCTCCATTGGTTGGTTGGTTGGTTGGTTGGTAGGTAAAGTTTTAGGATGTGAAAGATAGTGTGCGAGGTCTCTGTTCAATCCATTCTTGTAAGAATTAAACTTGTAAATTAAGTTAAATTCCAACCCTTCCCTGTGTATTTGGCTTGTGGAATTGGCCTGAAACAACACGGTGACTTGGAGATCCATTAATGAGTGCCCGAGCAGGTTATAGTGTTCTCCACTACGTTTCTGTGTATTGCCTTTTTGGATATTTGATTTGTGTTCATTAATTCTTTCCCATAGAGACTGTCCAGTTTGGCCTATATACATGGCAGTGGGGCATTGCTGGCATTTGATGGCATAGATCACATTAGTGGATGTGCAGTTAAATGAGCTCTTGATGTAGTGGCTGATGTTGTTGGGTCCAGTGATGAAATCGCTTGTGTAGATGTGTGGGCAGAGTTGGCACCAGGGTACGTTCCTGCATGATTATGATGGAAGTGTGCTGTGTGGTTACTGGAAAGAATTTGTTTGTGGTTGGAGGCTGTAGGCAAGGATTGGCCTTTCCTCCAAGGCCTATTTATTGTACACAGTAAGGGCCCGTGGCGAGTAGAATACAACCCGGAAGAGCCGGCGCAGAGTGATCTGCACATGCGCAGAACTGCACGAAACTGTGCGGCTGGCGAGTGGGGCTCGCCGCTGCTTGGCGAGCCCTGTTTATAGGCATTACTGAAATACAAGTAATTCACCATAATAATAAAGAGCAACTTCAGGGCTAACACATCAATGCTTCTGAGTTAGTGTGTTCTACAAAAAGGCTCTTTACACTGTAAAACTGGCCTTTGCTGGGGATGGGGAGAGAGGAACTCTAAAGTAAAATGTGCACATTGGTTTGGGGAGTAGGAATCGGGGCTATCACAGGAACACTAACCCTCCACCCCGAAAATACACATGACATTTTAACCATACTTACAGATCCTCGGAGAAACAAAACCGGAACTCCAGTTCCAAACTTCTCGTTTAAGGCACTCACAGCAGACATCAGCTGGTATGCTTGCTGACCAAAGTCCTCCAAATTCTCTTCTGTGTCACTGTTAATAGTGCAGCAGTGAGTTCTAACATGCAAAAAAAAAAAAAAACCTGAAAGAGCTGAACACTCAGAAATAATGGGAATTATTAAAATGTATTTAGATTTTAAATGTAAATGTGCATTGCATTTGAATTATAGCTTTTAAATATGCAATAAAGTACACCTTTAAATGCACAAATATAGTGCTGAAGATACAAAGTCAAAATTCCAAGAGATAAAAACTGTTGGTACCATTAGATTGTGCCAGAAGACATGTAGCAGAGTTAACACTGTGTAAACCATCTTAACCCTTTGAATATCTTTGAGTATTCTAGTATTTTACCCAACATATTTAAAGTTGCTTTTACAGTTCTTTTTGCATTTAACTACCCTGGGATTAGGGAAGTTTTGAGATACAAGTTTCATGTGGAAGATAGCCACAGTTCTCTTCAGGTATATGGAAAAAAACAGTACCAGAAAAGATTAAATGCAGGTCATTTGGTAGGCATGAGGAAGGCTGTCTCTCCCAAACAACCCCAACATTAAAACACATTCAATCCACAACCCTTTACTGGTATTGCAATTTTAAAGCCAATGTGACTTTGCATGTAGATTTAGAACACAATGAAAAATCATCTCTAAAATAAAGATCTACTCTAATCATAACTACAGTGCAGCTAAGGGATTATCCCATAATTTGTGGACAGAAAGCAAAGCTGAATTGTTTACATTCTTCTCAAAACAGTGTAATACTTCTAGGGGCTTGTTTTCACTACACAGTGGATCATGCTGTAGTGATCGATCCACTGGCAGCCGACTTATCACTTCTGCTTAGATGCAATAAATTCACCTCCGAGCGCTCTCCTATTGACTCTGGTACTCCACCAGGACACAAAGAGTAGCTGGAGTCACTGAGAGAGCAGCACCGCCCGACCGTATCACATAGAAGACACTATAGTAAGTATGCCGACTTCTGCTAAGTTATTTGCATAGCTGAAGTTGCGTAGCTTAGATTGATGGGAAGGCGACATAGTGAAGACTAGACTACTTATACCAGAGTTCTTACACTGCCAGGGAACACAGACATACACAGTCTACTACAAGTTTAAGAATGTAAGACATTTCTACTTTTATTGATGTTACTCAAACACTCAGTGCTCTCATCTCATGTAACTAATACGAGCATTAATGGAACATATATTGTAGCATCAGGAGAGTAAATCCCAAAGAGCAGACTTAACGACACCATACTAGCCACTGTCAAGAAAGAAGACTGTGCTGGTTAAAAAACCAACCTGCTTTATAGAGCTTGCACATATGTAAGGAGAGAGAGAGAATGTGTGTGTGTGTGTGTGTGTGTGTGTGGCAAATGGATAAAAGGGAAGTTGATAGTAATTAATTTAAATCAGAAGACAGAAATTGTAGATTGATAAGGGAAGTAAAAGGGACACAAGGAGAAATGTATGATCAGCGGAGTTAAGGACAATTAGATAGAGTTTTAAAAATATATTCGGAACAAAAAGAATCCTGAGAATGGTATTAGTCCTTTATTAGATGGAAAGGAAGAATGATCAATAATACAAAAGATTTGGGGAAAAAACTGACTATTAGTTTCATCATATGGTAATGACACTACTCTTTTCATTCCACTAATATCTCAGGAGGAATCAGACATTTTGAATCATGAAGTCCAAATAATTCGTATGCAAGAGTTTTAAAAGAGCTAAGAAGCTGACTGAGGAGCTTGCTGGACCATTAATATTGATTTTCAGTATCTCTCAGTGCACTGAGGAAGCTCCAGAAGACTGAAAGAAACCTAATGTTGTGCCAATTTTTTTAAAATGGTAAATGGGATGATCTGGGTAATTATAGGCTGGTTGGTCTGACCACAGTCCCAGGAAAGATAATGGAGTGACTGATAAAGGATTTGATTAATAAAGAGTTAAAGGAAGATAATGTCAATTTGTGTTAATTACATGAATTTATGCAAAATAGGCCATGACAAATTAATCTGGTATCTTTTATTGATGAGATAAGAAGTTTGGTTGATAAAACTAACAGTGTTGATGTAAAATACTTAGACTTCTGGAAGGCGTTTGACCTGGCCCTGCATGACATTTTGACTGAAAATTAAAAAGATATAAAATTATCATGCCACATTCAATGGATTAAAAACTAGATAACTGATAGGTTTCAAAACATAAATAAACAGGGAATAGCCATTGGGCAGTTGTGTTTCCAGTGGGGTCCAAGATGGATCAGTTCTTGTCCCTATGCTAATTTAACTTTTCTATCAGTGACCTGGAATAAAACATGAAATTGTCAGTGATAAAATTTGCAGAGGACACAAAAGTTGGGGGAGAGATAAATAATGAAGACAAGTTTGATACAGAGCAACTTGGATTGCTTTGGAATCTGGCACCAACAAACATGAGTTTTAATAATGCTAAACATCAGTGTATGCACCTAGGAGAAGAAGGTAGGCCAAGCTTGCAGAATGGAGGCCTCTAGCCTGAGAAGTAGTGACTTTGAAAACAATCTGGAGATTGTGGTGGATAATCAGCTGAAAATGAGCTCCCAGTGCGATACTACGGCCAAAAAACCTAATGTCACCCTGGGATGCATAAACAGGTGAATATCAGGTAGGAAAAGAGAAGTTATTTTACTGCTTTATTTTGCACTGGTGCGACCCTTGATAGAATAATGTATCTAATTCTGGTGCCCATAATTCTAGAAGGATGGCGAGGGTTCTGAGAAGAGCCAGGAGAATGATTAAAAGATAGAAACATGCCTTATACAGACAGACTCAAACAGTTCAATCTGGTAGCTTAACAAAGAGAAGGCTAAGGGGTGACTTGATCACAGTCTTTAAGTATCTACACGGGGAACCGATATTTAATACTAGGCTCTTCAATCTAGCAGAGAAACGTACTACATAATTGTTTTCAATGGTTTTGTATTGGTGACACCTTTCAGACAGCAAGTCTGTGAGTGTGGCTTCCTTTATAAATTAAAAAGGGGGGGGGCTTAATTTAATTTATTTGGGGCTCGGGGCTGTCTCGCAACTAACTACCTGAGGGGTCATGACCCCCAGTTTGAAAATTCCTGGTATAACATGATCCAATGACTAAAAACTGAAGTTAGACAAATTCAGACTGGAAATCAGGCATACACTTTTGCCAGTAAGTAACCACTGAAACAACATACCAAGTGTTGTGATAGATCTTCCATCACTGATAATTTTAAATCAAGACTGAGATTGTTTCCTACAAGGCCTGTTCTGGAGTCATTTTGCAAAAGTTGTATGGTCTGTGTTATACAGAAGATTGGACTAAATGACCAGAATGGTCACTTGTGGCCTTGGAATTTATGACAGTCAAGCTATACGAAAAAATACGCTGCCACATCCAGGTTTAAAACTTTCTTTGGAATAGGCAGATATCGAAAGTTTAAAAAAATGTGTGTAATGTAACATTTATTTTACAGCCTTAAGAAGTCACTTTAAAAAAAAAACATTTTAAAACCAGCAGTCATCTTTTATTCCAGCTTTACTAAAATCTGAGGTTTGGTGTCGTGTGTATGCAATTCCACCTGTCATACCCCACTATTGATATAGTAAGCCCATAATGACAGATACCGCTGTTCAAACATAAAAGCAAATGTCAGGAGACGTTTCGTATTGATCAGAATACTCAGAAACTAAGTGCACAAAAAAGAAACCCAGACTATTGTGTTAGTAGAAATTACTTAAGTGCTTATTTTCACTTGTCTTGTATGTTATAGGAAGGTAGATATTCTAAACACTGTAGTCTTTAGGGAGGAACATTTACCTGGACCGGCAATTATCACAGCATTTTTCTGTTCCCATGATGCCAGAGGAAGCCTTCCGGAGTTGTTTATCTTCAAAATGAGACAAGATGATTCTACCCAAGGGAACATTGAGAATTAAATAAAAGAACAAGAATTTACATGTTAAATTCATTGCAGAAAACAATGAGTTGAAATCATCATCATTAATTGATTCACCTGGGAACCAATTATTTGCACTTGATTTCACCAGAGACAAAGGCGTTTGTTTTTAAAATGTAATTCAGTAGTTCCTAATGCTGGTATTTAGTTATTTAGAAGCTGGTAAATATCATTTTTTAAAAATAGAGTTGTATTTTTGCAAAGCGTTTCAGTTACTTGACTACAACTTCAGCTGTGACTGAATGGCAACGGCCAACATCAATTGCGCACTGTGGACTTACAGAAAACGTGCAGTAAAATACAATACTCACCTTCTTCTGCAGCTATTTGAGTTAAGGTACTTCTCTATCTTCGCCATCATCTTTAACTTATATTGTTGGAATTTTTCATTGCGTATCTCACTTAGAAGATGTCTGCCATTAAAACGAAAAAGAAATAAACAAACACTGATCACTACCTTCCCCTCTAAGAAAACAGAATACATGCCACTCAATTATCTGAAGAAAAATAATTTGAAAATCTAGAAAAATTAAAAGAAAAAAACCCACCACTTGTTTTAAAGCTGTCCACAAGTTTCTCTTTGAATTTATAGTGACAGCATATCCTCACCACCTACTGCATTCCACCTCTTCCATACACAGCAGTGGTTCTCAATCTGTAGCTGGACACTGTTCCACAAAATGTCTTTCCCTTCAGCACAAAAACACTAACCCTTCGAAATGCTGCAAAGTGGTATTGGGATGGAGAGACCTTTCTTTCATCTTCCTTTCTGTGGGCTTCTTTGTTATCATCAGTGGCAATTAGACGAAGAGGATGCAAGTATGGTGTACTGTCTGAGACTACGTGTACATTACACACTGCTTCCTGAAGTATGTAGAGAATGTGCCAGTTGCAGGCTTCAGTGAAAAGCAAGTGTGCCAACACGCAGGTCTATAGCTATGTGTGTACCTTTCCCCTGCTACTTCCTCCCTGCCAGAGCCTTTCTTCACTGGCAGAATCTTTCCCTGCAGAAAGGAAGGGAGAGGCCTCCAGAAGCAGGAAGCTGGCAGAGCTAGTCCCTGCTCCCAGAGTCTTTTCCTGCTACAGGCAGTGCAGATGTGGAGATGTGGCCTGGATGAGTAGAGCATTGTGTAGAGCACATACTTGGGTACATGCCCACAACCTTCAGGGGACCCGTTACTCACCTAAGATGTGCCTCACCACCTACCTTTCTCTTAATACCCAGGCAAGGGGGCTACCTGGGTACATATGCTACACACTGCCAAAAGAAATAGTGTATGCAGGCATACCCAGAGTTGTATGGATCCAGCTGGATACCAAAACTCTCAAGGACATCACCATTCTGCATCTAGATGGTGGGATGCTGCCTTCAAACAACAGTGCCCCCCATTTTTGCACCGCCCACATAAGCCAATGATAACATACAACAGATGAACCGAGAAGTGTGGAGATTTCAGTGCCATTGGCAGCTCGGTGGCTTACAATTTAAATGACTACATTTTAGGAAGTTGCTGTCATCCTACACTGACCATAGTGAAGGACAAAAGGACCTATTAAGGAGAAGGTCTCCACTGCAGGGAGCCTGTTATTCATCACAGAAAAGCTGAACAGATTCCAAGGATACCCTGGAACCAATGGAGGCCTGTCAAAGCGGGAGGAGAAATGGTTTTGTTTTCTGGTGAGCTTCATTCACTTTCACACTGAGAAGTTACTATCACCCTGGGAACTCTACTCAGTCCCCAACAAGATGTATCTTTGCCTCTTGCGGCTGGATAGAAGCTATGGATAAGCAGGGATCTCATGACTGGGATCTTCAGAGGCGTCCCTAAAATAGGACAAGCTGATAGCGGCTCATGAACTGTATGTCGCCCAGTGCTTGTTCAGAACAAAAAAGGCTGACAATAAAGGATGACTATGCCAATATCTGTCCAGTTTCTACCCTTCTATTTCTGGGGAAGATAACCAAGTGAGGGGCATCAGGCCCAGCTCCAGGAGCTTCAGTTAGCCTTCAATTTTTGGATCCCTGAGAGGCATGTTTGAGACCAGGAGATGGCAAACACTATTAGCCTCACTGGTCAGACTTCTCAGCAAAAGGTGGGGAGATCACACAGTCAGGCCAATTCTGTTCCAGCAACCTCTGACATTAATAAGTACAGGAGGGCCTGACAAATGCAGAGAGAACTAAGAGGCTCCAGGCCTTCCTCTTAGAGAAGCACCGAGCAACGGTTGTTCCTCCCAGAGAGCTCTCAACTGTTGAGTCCCATGACGTTCAGCCTTGCCACTCTTCTCATTAACCGGATATTTGTGAAGCAGTGAGAGGAAGTTGTGAGGCACAGTGGGCCTATAATAGCATCGCTATGCCCAAAATGCACAGTTCTAAATTTCCTCCGCTGCCACCCTGGAAGGAACAGCTCTCTCAGTGTCTGGCACGGAGAGGGACCAGGAAGAAAGCTGGCTGGTTTAGACTCAGAGGAAGTAAAAAGGAGTTGGCACTTTTGATATTTCTTAAACAAGTCAAAGATTACAACCATTATCTCCTCTGTAGGCCTCTGCCAGACCAACACAGAGGTTCACAGTTCAGGGAACCAAATCCCTCTGCTCCTGGACCCCAGGCAGTAAAAGCAGCTAGAAACATCTTCCATTTCACCTTTAAATAACCAAGTGTTTGCACTCATGTCCCTGCCACTGTCATCCATCTGCTTTTGTTTCTAATTTAGAGAACTGCAATGCAGTTTATCTGGGGTCTCGCACACAAACATCAGATACTGCAAAATGCAGCTCCACGCCATCTTTCCAGGTAGGACAAACCAATGAACACACTCGACTCCTGTGCTCCACGCTCTATACCCTGGCAGCCAAATCACTGCTGAATGGTCTCAAAGAACAAGTCTAAGGTCATAGTTATTTCATACATTACCTCTGTCCTTGAGTCCCACTGGTAACAACTGAGCTTGGAAGTCAGGTCACAGCTACTAGTATTGGTCACAAAAGCACAAAGCTTGTGTGAGCCAGGCAATATCTGAGTGGGGCTGCTCACCTCTGGAATTCAAACCTGCTGGCTAGAAGTCCAAGCCTGAACTGGTCGGTTTTAGGGGAAGACTGAATCCACATTGCTTTTAAGTACAGTGAAGGTTTTCCAAAAATAACCACAGGCCTTCTACTTAGCATCCTGAGCACTACCTGCCTTCACATCATGGACCCTGGGTGGGATGATGCGCAGGGTTGCTGGATGCATACACCGTTCCTGGAGGAGCTCATTGCAAAGCAAGCCTTTTCAAGTATATTAAGTGTATGCACCACACACCAAAACAACAAGGTAGCTTTGCTACCGGCAAACATTTTAAACCCACTCCCTCCTGCTCATTCATAATAATAAATTCTGGCTACAGAATGAAAATATTTCCTATGCTCCAGGCTGCTCCCAGTACCATACCTGTTAAAAGTCATATCAGCACCAGTCCACAATATGTAACAAGCAGCAGGAAGCCCATCACGGCCAGCCCTTCCAATTTCTTGGTAGTAGGACTCCATTTCCTTAGGGGCACCATAATGAATAACTTTCCTGATGTCTGCTTTATTGATACCCATTCCAAAGGCTACGGTAGCCACAATGCACTGGGAAAAAAATCACAACAAACATACTTAATTTAGCTGTAAAAATATGTCTATTAATGCCAACATTGTGTAATGACTTTTGTGCCAGGGATTCAAATCAGCCCCAAATTTAGTAGTGTCAAATCACAATTACCCCCCTACTTGGCACCATAGCAAATAAACGATTAAAAACCTTTAATTAGAGATACAGAAAAATAATTAAAGCCTTTGAAATGTAAAGTGTTAAGTAAGGTTTTCATTTTCACAGCTTATTGCCTTTTCGTTTAGCTGTAAACAGTTTTTAGTAGGAAAACGCCCTCCTCCCCTCATTGTTTGATAGTCTTTTAGGTAGGAGCAAAGATGGTAATAATTGTGGGTACGTCTAGACTACAAGCTTTTGTTGACAGAAGTTTTGTCAACAGACACTGTCGACAAAGAGCGTCTAGACTACATCCAGTTCTGTCAACAAAGCAAGCTGCTTTGTCGACATGACAATGTAGACACAAAGGACAGTGGAGATACAATACTGCCTTCTGTCAACAAAAGGCGTTATTCCTCGTAGAATGAGGTTTACAGCTGTCGACAAAACTGCTGAGTTCTGTCAACATTATGTTGACAGAACTCAGCGGCAGTGTAGACGCAAGTATAGTTTTGTGGACAAAAGTCCACTTTTGTCGACAAAACCTGCAGCCTAGACACACCGTGTATTTTGGAAAAAAAAGAGAAGCTGTAGTTGCAGCTGCTGAAGTCTAATCTTAGAAGGACTCCCCCCACACCTTCTTGAAAGTCTTAGATGACTTTGAAGACGATAATAATTGCCATTCAAGGTGGTATTTGGGATGCAGCACAAGCTGGTGATGTCAGCTGGTTCCCTATCTGTTCGGCCCATTCTCATCAGGACACCTCTTAAAATCAGAATAAGGAAAGCCCTGGATCCCAAGAAATAGCAGGAGTGGCGGCCATGACAGTGATGCTTGCTCCAGTAGCTTCTGTCTGTTTTTCTTTTTGATTTGTCATACTTTCTCTACCAAACCTTTTTCTTTTAAGGACTCGAAAGGGGAGTAATGGGTAAAATAGCCCCTGTCTTCATTATGTTGTCTACCAATTAGGCCTAATATTCAACATCTCAATTTGGGCCCATCAACTTTCAGCTCCACATCTTCTGTTTTTAACAAGCATAATTTCAACACAGGTTTTGAATCATATCAACTTGGCCATTTTGTTTAAACTAATTCAGTTATTCTGTCTCCTTTTTACACTTTTTTTCCTGTTAGCATACATTACTACAGGCTACTGACATGCCTTATGAGTTTTTACACTTTTTATAGTGAAGCTCAATTCAGATAAAGTTGTAGGCTTAACTATCACCACAGCACACAACCACAGTAAATCAGAAATGTTCCCGTCATTAAACCAGAATAATTCACGAGGCATTTTCTATAGACTTCTAATGATTTCCCATGGCAACATGAAGATCTTACTGTTGCAGAAATGCACGGCATGAAAGCAAAATAATACTCCACTTCAGAGACTAGTCAAAGCCTGAAGATACAGTATTATTTAGAAAATATCATCATGGACTGAAATGCATCTCCTACTTTGCCTTTCTCCTAAAAAGACACAAGAAAGAATATATTTGAATGAAGCTGAGCATACACAGAGGAGCTCATTTAAAAACACACAATTTATACACCAAACAGCCCTAAGTAGAATCATACAAAATAGTGGGGTGGCTTATTCTTAATTTCCTGCAACATTATTGTGGTCTATGTGACAGAGTGACTGCACATCAGTATGAGAAAAAGTCACTTCTTGTCATACTCTGTAGATTGTACAGTCAGGAAAGACTGAAATATGTTAGGATAAAGTACATGGTGTTGACCGGAAGGTCACAAATTATGTCACTGTTTCTACAGACAGACTGATGAAGGTAGAGGGTGCCCATTCTTGCCCATTTTGTGACAGGTACAAAGTAATTGTGAAAGAGAGACTGATATTTCAAAATTCTCTCAGTCTGTACATGTCAAAGCATTAACTAACCCATTTCCTACAGAACATAGTCCTGTAGTACACAGTTATACCTGAATTTCATCTCTCATGAACCTGTGATGAACATCTCTCCTTGCTTTGATTCCCATGCCAGCATGGTATGTGCCACAGGACAAATTTAATTTCATCAGCTCAGCAGCTACTTGTTCAGTGGTCTTCCTTGAAGGGCAATACACAATAGTGGGCCCTTCAAACTCATACCTAGAGCTAAGGAAAATAAAATAACAGGTAAATATATTTATAAATGATAAGAAGGTCGTGTGTGAACCACACATTCAACACCTGAGTCAACAGACTAAGGACAGTCAGGTTGCAGATTTTGCTGCAACTCTTCATTATTCTCTGTTGTTTTCATATGGTCTCTCTAGGAGGCAGATTTCTAGCTGATCTAAACTGTCCCCACTCCACTGACTTCAATACAACTCTGACAATTAATACCAGCTAAAAATCTCTTCCTGGCTTCTCAACAAGGGTAGGATCTTGTCAGACAGAAAGCCATTCAGAAGATCTCTCTCATTTCCACAGTATTTGGTACCAGAATGATTTTAAAGGTTTACCAATATCATATCTTGTTGTCACATTACAACTCTTCAGTGATGTTCTGCCAAGTGCACTTCTTGTGGGAATCACCGTACTATTTTCACATACACTTGCTGTGACAAAGGATGTTCAGCATTTTTAAAAAGAGCCAAGAACGTATGAAAATCTTTTCAGTGGCAACCAGCCTGCCTCTCACCTCTCTCAACTCACTCCCCTTCTCTACACCACGCATGCTCCCTAATCCCACGTACACAAATATAACCCCTCACTCCGACCCACCCAGCCTTGCACGCTCTTCTCTTTCCCCTTGCTGAACAAACACTCCTTCCAACCCACTCTGCTTGGCACCCTTCACCCTATCTCTCTCAGATCAACAGCCCTCACGTTCTGTTTTCCAACTCTCCAGCCATGCTGCCCTTCGAAACAAAACTGAGCCCTCCCATGAAAATAACTTCATGAATGAAATCACAACAGAACAGTAGTGATCCATCAGTAACTCAAAAGGCTGCCTCTCAAGTCCAACCTTCCTCCTCCTACTCTACATACCACTCCATAGTTTCATGCTGGTTTTTCTGTATCTGCAAGTAATTTAAAAACAAAGAAGCTATCTGTACCCGACTACCTGTAAAGAAACACATTTGGGATTTTTTGTCTTCAGCCAGGCAAATGAAAACATAATGCTAGAAATCAAAATCGCCACACCAAAATCAAATCTGTGCATAACCCTAGCCTTATTTTCCATTTAATATGGTTTAGAAAGTCATTCACTATGCAGCTAAATACAGGTTGCACCTCTAAAATCTGGGATTCTCTGGTCTAGCAAAATCCATGGTCTGGGAGGACCACGGATGTTCCAGGATCAGAAAGTCTTGGTGTGCTGCAGGGGGTGGGAGCCTGGGAACCGGTGCGTGGCTCAACGAGGCGAGTCAGGGGGAGAGGGGGGACAGCAGGGGGCCTGAAATGATCTCCCCTGGTCCGGAAAAATCCCTCATCCGGGACCAGTCAGGCCCTGAGGGTGCTGGATAAGGGAGGTCCAACCTGAAATCAGTATTTGCACTACACTAAGGCTTGTGTCCACACCCTGAACAGCTTATTAAAAAGACAACACAAAAGGTAGGAGGAGAAATTATCTGCCCAAGGTCATGCAGCAGAATCAGGAAGAGAACCACTTTGCTGGTCTTAGTTTTGACTCCCAGGCAAGCACATCTTTGATAATATCTGAGATACAAAAGCAACAGCCGATAGAACAAGCAAGCTAGGAAAGCCTCACCTCTCCTTTTTAATAAGGAACGGCTTTAAATCCTGAAGGATTTTTCCAGTTTTTCGTCCAACTTCTAAGTATAGGTTAGGTCGGTCAAAACTTGTACATGTGACCTGAGGATTCTTTAGGTTGAGACAATGCACAATGTCTTCTCTAACTGAAGGGCTTGCAGTTGCAGTTAAAGCAACAATAGGAACCTGAAATGAAACGAAGAGGGAAATGATGGGAGGAAGAGGACTCAAATGGAGACCTGTCATTCTTGCTCATTTTTATTTTATTGTGATTCAAAGTTAAGGAAAACAGGGTAAGACTAGATATCCCATTCTGCTTACAGTCCCCAGAAGAAGAGACAATATTATATTTGCTAGAGCTTTGTGCTGTCACAAAGAAATAGATTTTAGAGGCATTTCCATAAAAAACAAACTGACATTCACCAGTCTACACAAAGGAAACAGAAACTACGTTTAAACATATTTTTCCAAACTAGATTTGGCCAGTTGTCTTTATCGAACCTTCAGTAGGATTCTACTAGTTTTCAAATATGGGTGCCTAAGGTTAAGTACATTAGGACAGAATCTACAGAAAGAGGAGCTAAATGTTCGGTTCATAAGTCCATATTTTAGCCACTAATGGTTAGGATTTTCAAATATGCCTGTGAGGCCAGCAGTCAATGAGACTGTTGCTTCTAAATCCATGGGGTGCTTTTCAAAATCTCACCCTTAGGCACCTAGATTGAGACTTCTATTTTTGAAATTTTGGCAGATAGTCGGTCGTTTATCACCTGAATAAATGGCCTAATTTTCAAAAACATTGAGCACACAATATATCTAGTGTGCATTCTGGTCTCTTTCAAATTTTTCAATGCTTCAAGCATGCATAAAGAGTAACGTCAGAAAGAAAAGTCCTAAGCCTACTATACAAATGTACTTTTAAATATAATTTGCAATATCCAGTTATCTTATGTAAATATGAGATATACCCAGGAGCCTCACCGAAGGCAGTGCTTTCTTTAATGAACCCAAAGTCCTAAATGAATTTCTGAAGTCATGCCCCCACTCTGAAATACAATGAGCCTCATCAACAGCTATCAGCGTGATACCTGGGGGTGGAAAAACACACACATGCAATGAGCACAGAAATTTCAGGAAAGGATACAAAATGTTCTAGAAAATATAAGCCTCATTTACTCAAGTTAAAACTTTACAGTGAGAAGTCTGAGCAAGTGGAGATCAGCCCTTGGCTATTACCCAGATGGGAGCCCTGGGAATGCCAGAGAAGTTTGTTTGAGTTTCTAAAATGGCTGGTAGCTTAATGACCAGTGGAAATCCATTTTCACATTCACCTTTTTCATATGAAGCCAGAATGAAAGATGTCACAGACCTTCCTCCTCTACTCCCCTTTTTTCTTCACCATGTCCCTGGCTTTCACGCCAATTGCTCATAAGATGGGTCGAACAACAGCTCCCCCCTTCTACTTCCTCTCTCTTCTTTGGTACCAATAAAGACTTCAGGCTGTTCACCTAGTTGTTTATAGATACTCTCTATTTGGTTTGCTTAGTACTAAAATGAGGCCTGAGATTCCCAGAATTGCTCCATCTCTTTTAAGAGGAAATGTAAGCATAGGTAAATCTGATGGAGAGAAACTTCTAAAGCAACTCTTCATTCTAACACATGCATCATATATTTTGATTTGAACTCTGTCACTTTGTCTTTATAACCAGTGTCTTCATCAACCTGTAATATAAAGGCTCTGAAATTTAAGGGCTTTGTCCTGGAGGTACGAAATACACTCAACTCCTGTTGACTCCCATGAAGTTCAGGAAGCTCTTTGCAGCTCACAAACACTGGGTACTAAATTGGGGAATCAAAAAAAATTTTTTTGAAGTTTAATTTATTTTGAGTTGCTGCAGTGGTTGTTTGGGGGCATCAGCTGCATTAGCGTATTTTGTAAGAAATAGTTCGTTAACCACAATACTCATGCTACATGCATTTATCAAGTGTAATATTCTGAAAAATTAGAATGCTAAAATGTGCTTATTTTTAATTTCTTGAAGATACTTCTGAAAATGCTGAATGCACGTTCAACTGCTGATATTGCACAGCCTATACTCATCCTTGTGTTATCCCTATGAGTAGTATCTGCTCAGGGCCTCTCTCTCTTTATGTATATCTAGTAAAGGTAATTATCTTACTCTAACAGAGTGTACCGACACCAGTTAGTGAGGATTGCCATTTTGGACTCAGAACTTGCTGAGAAACTCTCAAAACAGGGCATATTAAACAAATGCAGAGGAAAAAGACCCACCTAAACACATTGTTGGTAAGACATTTGAATAAAAGCAACACAATCCATTCCCTATTCTCAGGGGAATTCTGCGCCAACAAAATTCTGTGCCCTATACAGGTTGAACCCTTCTGGTCCAGCAACATCGGTGGCATGATTTTAGTGAGCTGGATGTCCACTTATCATGGGTGTGACCAAGTTTCCCTAAGTCCCATAAAGTTTGTTTACAGCCACCAGTCCTGGCTGTCACCGTTCTGGGCTGCTATTGAACTCTAATTTACTCCTCAATGTCTTCCAAGAGCTAAGTAAGCAGTGGAAGTGTGGGTAATGCTGCTAGACCAGGGGTCATGTGACCTGATGTAAGTGGCATGAGAGCTGATTTTGAGTGGTGTGCGCAGTGGGAGCTTGAGTTAAAGCACCCCCTCTCCTTCCCCCAGCAGGGGCTGGAGTCTTGCAGTTGCCACATAGCTGGAGGCTGGAGAACCAGCTCCGGCTTTCTACTGGAAGGATAAGCAGGGGAAGGGGAGGCGTTTGCACGCAGGGGCCAAGACAGCCTGGCAAGCGGAGCAGGCAACATGACCCTGCACTTGGCTCTGCGGTCCTGGGGTTGTCCCTGCCTAGCCTGGGTGTGCAGCTCCCAGAAGCAAAGGGGTTAACACTCTGCTCCCTGCTCCAGAAGCAGCTGGGGCTGGGGCTGCTCTGCAGAGCCAGGGCAGCCAGTCACAAGCTGCTGCTGCCTCCGTGGGACTCTGGGGCCCAGGCTGCACTGTGCTGCTCTCCACACACGGTGTGTGCGGGGGTGGGGAGTCCCTTTCCCAGTGCCCTGCTGCGCCTGACTGAGCTCAAACCAGCCCCATGCTCTGCCCACCCCAGCACCGCAGCCTGCAGGTGAGGGGTAAGCCCCAGCGCTGGGCTGGGTAGGGAAGTGGTTCTGTCCCCTTCCACACCAGCGCTGCTCCCGGGGGGGCTGCGAGTCCCAGCGCTGCTGCCCTGCTGGTGTGCATGCTGAGGGCACAGGAATGTTTGGGTAGAAGGGGGGATGAAGGAGGATGCAGGGGCAGGATGGGAGGGAGTAGGGGTTACACTCAAGGGGCGGGGGGGGGGGGAGAGGGATCATGGGGATGAGGGAAGTGAAGCTGGAGCAGAGGGAAGATGTGTTGGGAAGGATACAATTTTACTTTGCAGAAGCTGCACTTTCCTTTACTCCCCACTTCTTTGCCTACCTCCCCAACTAGCTATTTGGCTTACTTCTCACCCTTTCACCTTTTCTGCGTTCATCCCCCAACCCCCTTCTGCCACCCAAACTCCCTCTTATACTCCCACCCCACACCCTCTCCTGCCGCTAAACTCCCTTCCAGACCCTGCTTTCCTCAACCCCTCCTGCACCCCACCTCCTGCATCACTATCCCACTGGCTGGCAGCCCTGTCCCGCACACTGAACCCCTTATTTTTGTCCCCACCCCAGAGCCTAAGGGGGTCCACAAAATCCACTAACTCTGGAACCCCAGAAAAAGTCATTCTGGCCTATGGGAAGCCCTGAACCTCAGTCCTCCTTGTTCCTCCCACTCACCCCATGGGGCTGGAGCGCCAGAAGAGTGAGGTGTCTCAGTTGGGGACCTCATCAGTGAGGGTTAGGGGTTTTGGGAGGAAGCTTTTTTTGCTTCTCACTTGTGTGGTCCCCAGCTGATTTTTTTGTTGTGAGTCAGTGGCCCCTGACCCAAAAAAGGTTTCCCAACCCACCACAAATAAAGAAAACAGTGAAACCTTTTCTGTTGGACATAAATTGATATTTTACTTTATTTAAAATGAAGTGTGATAAACTAACATGAGAAAGTAAAAATGCTTAATCTGTTTAATAGTTTAAATTAAACCGTTATCTCTAGCTGTAGCTGGTTCAGTAAATATGGTCACCATACCTAGCCTGCCCCTGCCCCTTCCTCCGCCTAGCACACAGATCCATAAATAGAAGTGAATAAGTTAAATCTTGGCACACCCTTTCTGAAAGGTTGCCGACCCCTGTGCTAGACAATAATGAATTCCCGTGGTTTGGCAAGTTCTCTGGTTCAGCACCAGTGAGGTCCCAAGAGTGCCAAACTAGAGATGTTCAATCCGTACTGTAAAATGCTGCTCTGGATGTCAGCCCCATGTAGGACAGGAATAGGACTATCTGCCCCAGGAAGCTGGGGCCCCTGCTATGAATCCTGCACATATCGGGGCTCAGGCTGTCAGAGAGAACCTCACAGTGTGAGAGACTGAAATTTGTGATTTTTACCAAGAGCAAGCATTTTGATGGAAATCACAAACTCTGTGTGAAAAAATAAAATTCTGGGGGAAACATTCATTTGGTGCAAATTCTTCATTGCACAGTAGCCCAGAATTCCTCAGGAGTAAATTCCCCACAAGCTCCCAAAATTAAATTATCATAACTTACCAATGGTTTTGTCAAGTTCCTGAAGCAATGATAAGTTTCCTGAGCAGAACTCTGGAGTTATATACACAACTCTATAGTTGCCACTACAAAATGGGAAAATATATTGTCATATGCAGCAGATGAAAGAGATCTCAAACAATTAATTAAACTGCAATGAAAGAGTGCCTTGGATAAAATGAAGATGGGGACAATACAGAAAGGTTGTGAAAGGAGAACACGAGAGGAAAGGAAAGATGCAGGGAGAGGGAATGGAAACAAAGGAGGGAAGGAAGGAAGAGAAAAAAGAAATGGATTTCTTAGATTTTTGAAGCCAGAAGGGGCTATTTGACCATCTAGTCTGATCTTCTTCATACCCCAGACTAGAAAATCTCACTGAGTGATTCCTGCATTCAGCCCAATAACCTGTGGTTGAGTTAAAGCATTAGAAATTGATGTCCAATCTTGATTTCAAGACTCCAAAGGGGAAAGGGAGAAAGATCAAATATTATATAAAACAGAAAAGTAATACTGAAGAGAATATAGATTAAAGACAAAGAAAATCATAGGCTGCGTTGCGGCAGCAATGTATAAACTTAAATTTGCCTAACACTCTCCAGGTTCAGGCCCGGTTTTCAGTTGCTTATACCTTTGACAAGCTTTAACCATTCAGA